GAGTCGACTCTTTTATAGATGAATCAACCGTTTTAAACACTGTATTCTTACAGATTTAAGCCTTAGCTGGATACTTCGCTTCACTTAGAGCTGTGTTACACACTACATGGAGGGGAATTTTCAAAAACCCATAATATGGGCTCTTTAAGAGAAGCCATGATAAATTATGTTTTACATGAATTGAGCTAGTAAAACCGATGAATAGAAGATTTAAGATTTAGGTTTGACTTTTACAGTTATAATTGAAGACATGCATTTTAGCATTTTTTTCCCTTTTTATATATATTTTTTTGTGTAGGCTATAGGACAGAAAATTAAGAAAGCTTATTCTTTTAATTACATCATCTGAAGTTGATTTAGTCAGAGCAAAAAGAAACAGGTCTACAGGTTTTATCATGTAAAATTTAAGACCATTAAAAGTCTTTTTAAGACCTTTTTAAGACCATGATGGATTAAACTTCTTACACAAGGCTATACGCTATATATGTTTTTAATGGTTAAGTTTAAACCTTAAAAAAACATTCAAAACAATTTTTTTTTTTCATTCATTTTCTTTTTGGCTTAGTCCCTTTATTAATCTGGGGTGGCCACATCGGAATGAACTGCCAACTTATCCAGCATATGTTTTACGCAGCGGATGCACAAATGTTACTGTAAGGAAGATAATGAAACGATATTTATAAGTAAATGCAGTAAATAAATAAATGTTTCTTTAAATGTTTCTTTACTAAAATATATTGCTAGCGATTTGATGGGTGTTGGCCTAATTGAGTATTTCTAAAACAGAATGTATCTTGATCAGGGCTTTCAGCATCACATAGATGAAATAAATAAAGCATCAAGTTAAAATCTATAAAATGTTGGCTATTTTCAGATCATTTAAATTATATAAAATAAATACACTTAACAAAAGTGTTTTGGTCTGAGGGGTTATTTTTATCAATGTGCGTGTGACAATGCCAGAGGTTTAAAGAATAAATTGACTTCGATATGAGACTAAGGGGCAAAACGGTGGCTCAGTGTTTAGCACTGTCATCTCAGTAAGGTTTGCTGGTTCAAGTTCCATGTGGCCAGATGGCATTTCTGTGTGGTATTTGAATGTTCACGTGGGTTTCCTCCAGGTGCTCCGGTTTCTCCCACAGTCCAGTGACATGTGGTATAGGTGAACTGGGTAAACTAAATTGGCCGTGGTGAATGCATCTGTGTGTAAATGGCTATGGCATTGTTGGGTTGCGTCTGGAAGGGCATCCGCTGCATATAACATATGCCAGAGTAACTGGTGGTTTATTAAGCTGTGGCGATCCCTGATAAATCAGAGACTAAGTTGAAGGATAGTAAGATATGAGTTTCTTCTTATCTTTTGTAAAAAGTCCTAGTAAGCTTATATTATCATCTACTGAAATAAAAATAAGCGTAATAGTTATCAAGTTGTATGTTTCCATTTGTTAAGTAAAACACAAGGGGCCTGTACCATTAAAATGTATTATCTGACTAGCCAGTTAAGTTTTAGTTTAATTTAATCTGTTAGATTTTGCTGTATTTGACTTATCTGTTCTTGGGTGGCTCACCAATGTATTAGATTACTTTAATACATAAAATAAGTAAGCTGACCAAAGTTCTTACGGGAAGAAGACTTTATTGAAAACAATCAATAGTGCAGTTCCTCAGCAGTGATGTTAACTCGTCGGTCTTCAAGTAACTTAACCCAAAGTACTGCCTGTGAGACACTACTTATAACAATAGATATGACCTCCCCCAGAGATTACCCAAATGGTTTAGTTGGGTCACAACTCTTGAGTTCCTGTAGGCCATTTGGTTTGCACCTTTTGAGATGCAGATACTTGTTTGCATATGAAACAAGCCATACAGTCTATTAACTCCAATCTTGGCTTTTAGGTAACACGAAGGCAGTTTGACTTTATTCGCAGTTTGTAGCCATGGTATTATAGAGCAGCTTATCTGAGCTTGGTACCTAAAACAAAGATATGCAAACTAAACTAAGGCGCCGTTTACACTAATGCGATTTAGTTTGAAAACGCACAAGTTTTGCTACGGTTACGCCTTCCGTCCACACTACGCCGGAGTTCTTGAGCGCCGAAAACGGAGCGTTTTGAAAACGCTGGAGAGGCCGTTTTCATTCTAAAACGCTGCTGCTCCGTCTCAGTGTGGATGATGGAAAACGGAGACATCTGAAAACGGAGACGGGGCTGCAGACATTCGCCTCTCTGATTGGGGCTTTTCCTCAATATTATGTACCCTAACACACACAGTTCAGTCCTGCATCCTCTCCTTGTAAGTTCAGACCTCGCAAGTTTGATCAAGGCTGCAGTCTCTTCTTCTCAGTTTGATATGGAAAACAGACTATACCGAGAACATGGGTAAATCTTCAAAGGGAACAGTGTACTTTATAACTTCATTCACATCACCCTGGCTACGTTGTTTCACTTTCTCAACAATAAAATGTAAACATGATTTAAGGAACTGCCTATTTTTATTTTAATATTAGCAACTTAACAGACAGCAGACATGTTGAGGCGCCGTGCTGCATGAGCATCATCTTCACTGTGGATATTAATAACAAAACGGAGCCGATAACAACTGCCTCCTTTCAATTTCAATGAAAATACGAAACATACCCTCTCTTTTGCTGAATATCAGTTGTAATAATCGATAATGGCCATTATAAAAGTATAACATACAATAAGTTTATACATTATAGGAAATAAAGGCAAGCGATCAGTCAATATACAGAATGTATGTGCTTACATTAATCATTAACTTATCTTTGCGCTCAGCCAAAACACGTTACCTGAGAACAAGTAATAGATTCCAATGACCAAAGTCAGGGAATATGTTGTTAGATAAAGACAACAAGATGAATGAAATATCCCGTTTAATAAATATAGTGAGATTAGATCCAGCGGGAGATGCTTGATGAGAAGTCCGACTAGCACAGCTCTCATCTGGGTAGATGGGCTGCAGCGCTTGCCAAAGAGTGTGTGTTATCACGTGATGTGCGTTTTCAGCGTTTTGGTGTGGACGGAGAGCAGTTCAGAAACGCTGGGTAAAACGCGAGTGTGGACGCGGATCGTTTTCATTCTAAAACGCCGTTTTAAAACTAAAACGCACTAGTGTAAACGGGGCCTAAAACTAGTCAGCTAATCTGGCTTCATGGTACAGGCCACAGGTGTGTCCTTTTTGAATCCGCTGTTCCCAGCAGGTAGGCCTATTGTTTTTTTTTTTGACGTAGAACACTTGCTTGAACTTTTACCAATTTTTTTCTTCTTTCCAATACATGTTTTAACATTACATATAAAGAAATTCACATAAGTTATTCAATAATGTCCCTAAAAGGAGCGTATGAAAACTTTGGGTGTGTCTTAATTAGCCCCCTTTTTAGTAATCCGATCGTCAGCAATTTTAAGTGCTCTGTCAATCACAAAACTCTTCCACTTAAGTGAAACAGAGTCACTGATTTTATTCAAGACAAGAGACGAGATGATCCCAAGGTTTCCATATCCTGGACCAGGCCGTATCCTGAGCAGCTGCTGCGGTGGTCATGGAGGAGAGGAGAGCATGAGACTGATTTCTGTGCCATCCCAGGGACAGACGAGTCTTCGCTGAGGCCCAGCTTCCAGCCTCTGCCACTGAGACTTCAGCTCTGCACAAGACGATTGGCCAGCGGAGGTTTCTCTCAAGGTTTTTTTTTTCATCACTTTCGACAATTTGTGAAGTTTTTTTCCCTCTCCGCTGTCGCCACTAGCCTGCTTGGTTTGGCTTTCCAGTGTTTAGACCCTCAGTAGTGATTATTAAACCACACTGAACTGAACTTAAACACTAAAAAAAAATGAACTACACTGTTCCAGTTTACTAAGATCTTTTATGTGAAGCTGCTTTGACACAATCTACATGGTAAAAACGCTATACAAATAAAGGGGAATTGAATTGAAACTTTGCACCCTGAAAAGTCCCACAATCCACTGAAAATCAAGGGGTAACACTTTACAATAATAGTACATGAATAATGATGTACTAATATGTAAATTAACTATTACTTTAGTATGAACTCATGATGAGTTAATGCATAAAATAATCATGAACTAAGCTTAACTACAGCATGAGTTACATGAGTTCATGTGTGAATAACGGCTACCTTAATTACTTGTTAGTACATGTTTGTTAATTAATGTATTAATTAACACTTTACATTAAGCTAAATATAAGTCACTCTGAATAAGAATACCTTTAGTGTATATGAAAAACACCATTGAATGTAAATTATCTAATTATCATATTATATTTGGAATTATCTTCCTCAAGGAAGGCACAATATAAAAAACAACAACTGTTTATTACCTGTTATTAATTACGTGTTCATTATTCATGTTTTGACTGTGAGTGGTAACAGTGCATCGGGCCTCAAGGCACCGCTCAATTGCCCTTAAAAGCCAAAGTATCACACTAACATGTACTCGTGAAGCAGAAATTACCACCCAAATAAAAACTCAGCTTTAGCCTACAGATGATGCTTTTATTCTATACTGGGTCTGGTTTTTGTTATTGCTTTATTGTGTCAGTAATTATTGTGTATTCTGCCCTCATATTATAATGTACAGTTTAAACACATAGCACTCCTGGCATCGGATAAGTGATGAGCAAATTGTGTAGACATCTATATAATAATACTTTTACAATAATGTGCCTTAACAACTTTATGAGTTCATGTTAGTCTATGAGTAGTTACGAATGAGCTCATCATGATTTGCCCCTCAAAGTAAAGTCATGACATAACAATACATTAACAACTCATGAGTTCATGTTAGTCTATGAGTAGTTAAAAATGAGTTAATCATGATGTGCCCCTCAAAGTAAAGTCATGTCATAACAATACATTAACAACTCATGAGTTCATGTTAGTTAAGAATGAGTTAATGTGTACAGACAACTCAGTATGTGCAGGTGCATACCATCACTAAGATGTAGATGAACTGAAGACATTATTAACATTCACCAAGAGCTTTTATTTGCACTCTTGCTAAATACAACAGTCAGGTAAATCAACTAAATTATTAGATCAGATCATTTTAATCTCACAACTTTTTTTTCAAATTTTCAAGTTCAGATCAACATTAATCAAAATGTTATATAAATCAAAGACTGCATTAACTAAATAATTCAATTAAACAAACAAAAAAATAAATAAACACAGCAGCAATGCAAACATACAGCCTTGGGAATTGTGAAAAACAAAATCTGTCTTGTTCACATTTCGCATAATTCAGATGAAAACTCACTTTTTAAAAATATCAAGCAGGGCATTGCTCTCTTTTAACTGCTTTAATATCTCCATATTAGACTGAGCAAGACAACGTGTGAGACAGAGATTGGCAAATTCTTGAACGCTTTCACCCTTCTTGAAGGTTGCCCTTAAAGACTTGAATTCGGTGGGGTTTGCTGTTGCCAACTCAGCAATGGGCGCTTGCTTTACAATTGTGTTCCTGTCGATCTTGACTTTGTTGTATGCTTCAGCTTTACTTAAACCATCCCTAACCAGTTGCAAAACTTTGTTGTAACGATTGATGGAGTCTTCAGGGGTTCTTACTGCAGAAAAAACAAACAAACATCAAATTATTTGCAATTAGATATTATAAACTTAGGTCTAAATATACTTTTTTTGTGGTGGGGGGGGATTATTTACATCAATATTTACATACAACACAGTTTTTTGTAAAAGCAAAAAAAAAATATAATTTTCTGTTGTAATTTTTTTCTCACACCTTTTTTACTATTTTTGTTCAAATATATGCAGCCTTCAAAAACAGAAAACCTTGTTTTTAAGAACAAAATAGTACTAACCCCAAACTTGAGATTGGAACTATGCCCTGTACATACTAACTCGACAAACTTCACATTCATTTAATCCTGTCTAGTTTAACAAGTGTGACTAGTCCTTTTTTGGCCTATATTTTAGATATCTAGTAGATTTTGATCTACAGCTCAAATTCAGCTTTTTTAGGCAAGACATCTGTTTGTACAACTTTTATACACATTTTAAACCAAAATGCTTGCTATGAAAACAATCTAACCTGCAAGTGGGGATGATTTATAATAATAATTATGTTATTTGTTATTTTTTTATGCAAAAAGGTACATAAATTGGGATCATACAAATACAAAGAAACATCAACAAAAAACAATAACAAAACAATAAAAAACAAACAAACAAAAACAACAATATAGTCAGGTACTGGTAGGTGTGTGTGTTTGTGTGTGTGTGTGTGTGTGTGTGTGTGTGTGTGCGTGCGTGCATGTAAAGGTAACTTGGTGGACAGGTCAGAGTACATACATAAGGAACAATAACAGTCAATAAATGCAGCAAGTATCGCAGATATAAGTAAAACAGATAGAAAGAAACCAGTCAGAGGTAGGGAGAAACAACAATGCTTAGTAATGTATGATAGTAATAATGACGGTAAAAAGAAAGAAAGGACAACAGTAATAATAACTGACAATGATAATAAATCACAAGTACAACACCAACTATTACTACAGAAAGTTACTATTACAACTACTACTGCTGCTACTACAGCCACAACCACAACTATTACTACTATGTCTACTAATACTGATACTACTACAACAATGACTACCACTACTGATACTACTATAGCGTTTGCTACAACTAATACAACAATGTCTACTTATACTGCTACTACTACTACTACCGCAATCACTGCTACTACACCAACAACGAATATTACTACTATTGCTACAACGACACCTTTACTACTTCTGCTACCACTATACCAACGACATCAACTACTTCAGGAACTACTACTTCAATAATCACAATTACAATCGATACTACTACAATGACTACTACTACAACTACTACTACCACACCAACAACGACCACTACTACTACTGCTACAACGACACCTTTACTACTTCTGCTACCACTATACCAACGACATCAACTACTTCAGGAACTACTACTTCAATAATCACAATTACAATCGATACTACTAAAATGACTACTACTACCACACCAACAACAACAACTACTACTACTACTACTGCTACAACGACACCTTTACTACTTCTGCTACCACTATACCAACGACATCAACTACTACAGGAACTACTACTTCAATAATCACAATTACAATCGATACTACTACAATGACTACTACTACAACTACTACTACCACACCAACAACGACTACTACTACTACTGCTACAACGACACCTTTACTACTTCTGCTACCACTATACCAACGACATCAACTACTTCAGGAACTACTACTTCAATAATCACAATTACAATCGATACTACTACAATGACTACTACTACAACTACTACTACCACACCAACAACGACTACTACTACTACTGCTACAACGACACCTTTACTACTTCTGCTACCACTATACCAACGACATCAACTACTACAGGAACTACTACTTCAATAATCACAATTACAATCGATACTACTACAATGACTACTACTACAACTACTACTACCACTACCACAACTACAACAACAACTACTGCAACCTTAATAATGATAATGGTATTAATACTTATAATAATGGTAACGAAAAGATACAGAACAGTAATAATAACAATGATAACAAAAGTAAAATTAATACCATTAATGATAAAATTATGTTATTTGTTAGAAGTAGTACTTTAAATCACGTAAGGGCAGAATTTTTTAATTTCTGACTTTGAATCTCTGGATAAACTATACAATTAAATTTGGAAAAACATACCTCGTTTGATATCGATCATTTTTGTCTTGGATTTCTTCTGCCTCTTTGACTTTTTACCCTTTTTCTTCTTCTTTGCTGTAGGTTCAGAATCTGATGAGTCTGTTGATTCTGATGAATCTGAAGATGTATCAGTGGACTGATTCTTCTGTGATGTAACAATAGTGGATGATGATGCCGTCAGGGCAGGTGAATTAACAGTTTCACACCTCAGTCTAAGGGCTATGACAGAGAACAAATACAATGTATTGAGAACATAAAACTACAAGGCATTAAATAATTTAATTACACTTAATGTAGTGATACTTAAAAAAGGCGGATTTCTTTTTCTTAATCTTTTTATAATATATGCCAAATACGTGAGTGTGGTCAACAACCATTCATATGATAGGGTATGTAAAATAGTGTTACCTTAATAAAAAAAACACACACACAAAAGTTAGCATAACACGGAAACAAAAATGTACCATCCTCCAGTCTTGAACGGAGATAATTCCTGTCATCCATCAGAAAGTCAACTTTCTCTTGCAAATGAAGTATCTTCTCCTTTTGAATTTCAATTGTTTTTTTGGCTTGTTCAAGAGATAATTGTGCAGTGGGTGCTCCTTTTAGAAAAGAAACCAGTTATGTAACTTTGCTCGAATGAATGACTGAATGACTACATATTGCATCTTACATGAACTAGGCATCATTTAAAAAACATGTATACTTAAATACAGTTCACCCAAAAAATGAACTTACTCAACCACAGGTCATCCAAGATGTAGGAGGCCTTTAGTCACATTTTATTTTGATGGTCCGTTTGTTGAATTTAAGTTACATCACATCTACATGCCAACTAATTCTCTTTAGATTATAAGTACACTGTTAGGTTGGGGTTAAGGTTAGAGTTAGTGTATGTTGACATGCACTTGCAAAGTTTCTTATAGTGAGTTAAATGTCTGTTGAACGAGAAGTATCAACAGATATTAAGCAGACAGTCTACTAATACTCAAACGGACCATCAAAATAAAGTGTTACCAGCCTTTTTTCTTCAGTAGAACATTTAGGAAGATTTTTAGCTGAGTCCGTAGCGATTCATACTGTATAATGCCACCGAACAGGGATTTTCTTTTTCAGATTAAAAATATGCACATACAAACTAGTACAAATCAATAGCTTTGGCTCGTCATGACATAATGAAGTCTTGTGAAGAAAAATTATCAGTCCGTGTAAATTTTTGTTTACATTATTTACAATAATATTAGCTATCGTTATTGAATGATATGTATAAATCACATATTCTTTAATGTTCTACTGAAAGAAGGGAACAACTCACTGCAGGTGAGTAAATTAACCAGATTTTTATTTATTTTTTTTTTGGGTAAACTACCGCTTTAAGTCAACATGTTAAAAGACTTACAAGTAGTGTAAAACAAAAAGTACAAAAAAATTTAAATGTAACTATATTTGTATTATTTTTTTCTGTAATATTCGAAGTAATATTTAGAAAAGACTACCAACAAACCTGCCGTATCCCTGGTTGGCTGTACAGCAGGTTGAACACCTGCAGCTTTTAAAAAAAACAAAAAATTATATGTATTAAAATATAAATACATTTATGACAACAGTAGAATAAGAAGCCAATATAGATTGTAATATAAGTGATATACATAATATGAAATATCATGAAAGTTTTTGCTATAAGTAAAATATTAACTTTCTGAGTTTTTCCTTTTTTTTTCTAATTCCAAATATACTTTGGTTTCTGTGATGTTGTGTAAAATAAGTTGTAATCGCTTTCTTTTACTGTCTGTCCTGACAAGGATTGTTTTTTTTCATAAATAAATATCATGAGCAAAAAAAATACAAACTGTTTATTTTTATACATTTAAAATGTGTTATTAATATAGGGGCAATGCGGTGGCGCAGTGGGTAGCACATTCGCTTCACAGCAAGAAGGTCGCTGGTTCGAGCCTTGGCTGGGTCAGTTGGCAATTCTGTGTGGAATTTGCATGTTCTCCCTGTGTTCGCGTGGGTTTCCTCCAGGTGCTCCAGTTTCCCCCACAGGTTCAAAGACATGTGGTATAGATGAAAAGATGAAATGGGTATGCTTAAATTGACCATAGTGTGTGCGTGTGTGTGAAAGAGTGTGTTTAGATGTTTCCCAGTGATGTGTTGTGGCTGGAAGGGCACCTGCTGCGTAAAACATATGCTGAAATAGTTGCCGGTTCATTACGCTGTGGTGACCCAAAAAGAAAATGAATAAATATTAATATAGGGCTGGCAGATCACATGGGTACTAGGATACTCTTTACTGTGTGTGGATAACCATGCCATTCAGCCACCATGAAAAACCCTGTTAAGATAATGGTTAATGGTTCAAATTTTATTTCACAGCAATGACATTAATCTCTATATAGTTATAAAATTAAAACAAAATAAATCAACATAAAAAACTTAATTTGTTCAGCTACAGTAGGCAGTAGGTTTATTTAACATAGTAAGAAATTCATTCATTCATTCATTCATTTTCTTGTCGGCTTAGTTCCTTTATTAATCCGGGGTCTCCACAGCGGAAAAAAACACCAACTTATCCAGCACATTTTTACGCAGTGGATGCCCTTCCAGCCGCAACCCATCTCTGGGAAACATTCTCACACACACACACACACACACACACACACACACACACACACATACACAACGGACAATTTAGCCAACCTAATTCACCTGTCTTTGGAAGGAAGGAAACCCACGCGAATGCAGGGAGAACATACAAACTCCACACAGAAACACCAACTGACCCAGCCGAGGCTGGAACCTGCGACCCAGCATCCTTCTTGCGCCACTGTCGCCCAAATGATTAACATTTTCAAATAAACCATTCAGGTGATTTACTTACCACCTGATGAGCTTGATAGATTTTTGGACTGAACCCTTTTGCGTGCAGGTAAAACTATTTGGAAGCAAAAATGAACTCAACTTCATTAAAAGGAAATGGACCCTTCACTAAGCCCCGCCCTCCTTAGTTACTGCTGCTACGCCTGTCAAGCTTTTGTGCCTGGCACGGCTTTTTCAATGTGTGTGGCCGGTTTCTGACATTGCCAGGGATATAATGTCATTTTTGGTGAACAGGTGAGATATCCAAGAAAGCCAGACAAATATATACCCCCAATTACAGGGGTATATTCAACACATAATAGGCAACCGATTAGAGAATAAATCAATCAAAATTGAAGCTACCTTAGCCTAGCCACCTTATACAATGACCATTCAACAGCTTAGCTCAGGGGTGGGCAAACTCGGTCCTGGAGGGCCGGTGTCCTGCACAGTTTAGCTCCAACCCTAATCAAACACACCTGCTTACAGATTTCTTGTGATGTTAAAGACACTGATTAGCATGTTCAGGTGTGTTTGACTAGTGTTGGAACAAAACTCTGCAGGGACACCGGCCCTCGAGGATCAAGTTTGCCCATCCCTGGCTTAGCTCATGCTCAGCAGGAGAGGTGAAATTTAAAAATAATCTAATAATAACTAATAAAACCATGATTTCTCTATTTTTAGCCAAAACCCTGATTAATTATTGTGTAATGATATATAGCCTTACTAACCGGCGAGGAAACATGCATGGACAGTGCTTTTGCATTATTCATTCACAGATAGAAGAGCCAGAAAGGGAAACTGATGGATTTGTGCCGAATATTAGCATCAATGACCCATAATAATGTACAGTAAGTTACCTATAACTGTCAGTATGTTTGTGTGCTCTTTTAATGAAAAAAATGTATGAAAAACAGCTGCTGGTACAGTATATTGATGGCAAGTGCTCAGTTTGTGATCATATCTCGGTTTTGTTCTGTTGATTTGTAATTTCAAATATTCGTAGCGTGAAATAAGATGGAAATATGAAGTTCAGTAAAGTTAGCAACAGATTCGCAGATTCGTATTTTCCGGATCAATAACTCTTGTCATTATAACCTATTTGCTATTAGTATGACTAAGTTACTAATGTTGTGGCGGAGGCTTAAACAGAGCATTACTCATAATATCGAGCGAAAAAAAAGGAATAAAACAGCTGTGAAACATAACCAGCTATGTGTTTTTGTAGGAAACACAGTTTAGATCTGTTTATGGTAAGAGGTGTGTGAGTTATTGCCGTCTGTCTATCACTGAATGTGCCAGGAATATCAAAACAAAACCAACTTAGCTCCGCTCCTTTAGCGCCCCTTACACAGCTTGATCCACGCTGGCATTTCTCCTCTTGGGTTTTAGGTTTTGAAAAGGGGAAAAAATGTCACCATCCGTCCAAACTTTAAGGAGACCGGGTATCAAATTTGCACAATCTATATGCACTCGCTCAAAAGCTTGACAGAGCCCTTGCGCGTAGCTACAGTTGCTAAGTCACGATTGGTGGATGGCGGTTTTTGGGCGCGGCTTAGCAAAGGGTCAATTGCATAAAAAGTATACAAAATAAATTAAAACTGTTCAGGTCTCGAAAAACATGTTGACACCACAGGGCTGTCATGTATGAGGTGCCGTATAGGATTTAAATCAAACTTTGCTTATCAACACATACATAAAACACGTGTATATACACCTATAAATTACTCGCATATACACCTATACTACCGGATGTTCAAAACAACATGGATGAAACTTGTGTATATACATATAAACTTGACGCATGAATACAACCACATACACACGCACATACATATAAACTCGATCCTCACATAAACACTCACATTAACACATGCACATACATATAAACTTGCTGCATGCAAACACACCTATACACACTTGCATATACATATAAACTCGATTCTCGCATAAATACCCACATTTACATGCACATACATATAAACTTGCAGCATGCAAACACACCTACATAATCGCATATTAATATAAACTCGGTCTATGCATATACACCCTCAACAACACGCGCACATACACAAACTCACTACATGCAAACACACCTATAACATCTCACGCAAACATACAAAAAAAAAAAAAAAATAAATAAAATTCACAAACGTTTATCACGAATCTGGTTATTGCAAAGCTTAAGAAATAGAAATAATGTGATTAATAGAGGGATTAAATATGTTAAATTGTGAACATATGTTATATAAAATATTAGTCTATATAAAAAGACTATTCAAAATAAGAAATATTTCTATTTAAAAACTTTTCATTTAATTAGGTAATTACATACACAAATATAAATGGACAGATAGAACCCTTAAAGGACATTCAAAAAGAAACCAGTGTTATAAATATAAATGTAAACTCAAACTAAACTCCTCTATTCTATTGCAAATGTTAATGTAGCCTATAGTCTTCTTGTTTTTTTTTTATAATTATTGTGCTTTTTATATGTTTTTACAATGTGGGTGTCAAAATTGCAAGATTTTGGTATCATTTTGATTGTTAATTATTCAGCATATACAAAAAAAAAAAAAAAACGCTGATTAAAAGTCTCTGCTCATCATGTTGGTCAAGTTAACCCACTTAAGTGCATTCCTTCCCCCTACTGGACATAAGTGTGTATCATAACCCTTGACGAATAGTGACACCAACAAACATAAAAAACTAATATTAAACAAACATATTTTATTCAAAATGATTACTTAAGCAACCTTATATTTATTAAACCATAATAACATTTCCAATAATTTAATTGCATAATAAACCTTTAATTTTGCAGGAGCATTCCTTTGCATTACCTTTTTATTTTTTTATAGAATTAGCATAATCTATTTTCATAATTCAACAGATGTAATTCCTCTATTAATCGCATTATTTCTGTTTCTTAAGGTTTGCAATAACCTGATTCAAGACAAATAATAATCTTGTTCATTACACTCAAAGGACTTTTACGATGAAATTAAACTACTTCCTTTTAAAGTGAAATAACTTCCTTTTACTGTGAAAATTCATACATACACACATCTGAAATCACTTGCATATATGTATATACACAACTTACTGTATATATGTTTGTGAATTTTATTTTTTATGTTTGCACAAGTGTCATTTGGGTGTTTATGCTCACATCAAGTTTATATTCTTATGTGAGAGTTTATGGGTGTATATGCATAGATCAGGTTTAAATGTATATGCGAGTGTGTATAGGTGTGTTTGCATGCAGCAAGTTTATGTGTATGTGCGTGTGTTAATGTGAGTGTTTATGTGAGGATCGAGTTTATATGTATGTGCGTGTGTATGTGGTTGTATTCATGCGTCAAGTTTATATGTATATACACAAGTTTCATCCATGTTGTTTTGAACATCCGGTAGTATAGGTGTATATGCGAGTAATTTATAGGTGTATATACACATGTTTTATGTATGTGTTGATAAGCAAAGTTTGATTTAAATCCTTTACGGCACCTCATAGTCATGTATCTACCAATTAGGATAATAAATCTATGATTAATATTAAATTAAAAAATTACAAGATTGAAAAAATATTTAAAATTCAACAATTTGTCTTTGTTTTACAGTAATGTACACATACATCTTATATTTATGTGGAAAACATTGCAAACAAACCTGCTCTATCACTGGTTAATGATTCAGAAGGCTGAAGACCTGAGCAGGTTGGATCACTTTCCACTCTAGGCTTCTTACAAACTGGTAGAACTATGGGAAAACAAAATTTCAACATGAACAAAATGAAGAGGTGGGTAAATACCTGGAAATGCATTCAGTACCGCATACAACAAAAAAAATAGATTAGGTATACACATAAAACACTGCATAATCTGTAAGAAACATTAATTGACTCCAGTTACAAATCCAAATAGAATTAATTTAAGTGTGGTGAGTGATAATCATAAAATGAACAATGCAAGTAATTTACTTACCACCTGATAAGCTTGATGGATTTTTTGACTGAACCCTTTTGCGTGCAGGTAAAACTATTTGTAAGCAAAATAAACTCAATTTGATTAAAGGTGAATTGCATAAAAAGTATACAAAATAAATTACAACTGTTAGGTCTTGAAAAAACATGTTGATGCCACAGGGCTGTCATGTATCTTCCAGTCAAGCTAATAAAACTAGCTGATTAATATTACATGTAAAAAAAATCCAAGATTAAAAATATATTTTTTCAATTCAACAATTTGTCTTTTCTTTTCTTTAATGTACACAAATAGGCCTTGCTTACATTGATGTAGCAAATACTGCAAACAAACCTGCTGTTTCACTGGTTAACGGTTCAGCAGGCTGAAGACTTGAGCTGATTGGATCACTTTCCACTCTAACATTAGGCTTCTTGCGTACTGGTAGAACTAATGTTAAGGGGAAACAAAATTTCAAAATTAAAAAAAGGGTGGGAGCAAAACATTTGGAAATAACGTACGATACCGCAAAAAACAACTAAAAGCACGATATAAACACTTACTGTAATGGTCTGCGTTGTATTTGTGATTTTTTTTTGTTATTGCCCTTCTACTCCTCGTTGCTGTTCCTGACTCTTCCATTTTGTCAGGATCCTCTTCATCTGTTAATTGGCGCGTGGTTTGTATAAATGGCGACGTACCTTCATCCTCATCAGTTGAGGACATAGTTTGAATTCTCACTACAGCAAGTTCACCTCTAAATCCAACGTGAAGCTCTGGTGGATCTTGTATGTCTTTACAGTTATCCCAGGATGCAAATACTTCCAAAGAAGCTGCTCCGTATAGTTTTACTTTACCTAAAATTTTCAAAATGTTTACATTTCCTTTGATCAAACCTGGTCGTTCCATTGTGTCTTGCCGAATAGAGTGGAGGAACTATGACGTCAATTTGTATGCAAAAACCCGGAAGCGAGTTAGCATTTTAGCACTTCCGGTTCCCTCGTCCCAAAGTCAATGGGGTTTTTGAATGGGGTTTCAGTAAAATCGCTCAAATAAGGTCCGTGGCTAACACCAACTCAATATACTTTCACATTTTGTTCTACGACATAAAACACATCAGTTACAGCACACTCTTCAACTTTTAAATCGATTATGCTTCTTTAAAAAGACGGTTGCTATCAAGTTGCTAAATGAGACTACAGGCGGCGTCGGGGGCATTATACGTCATCGAGCTGATCTGGTCTGGAGCGCAGCTCGCTTGGGCGTTTGGATTTGTCTGTGATTTAAGTATTTTCAGAATAGTATTTTATAGTTTGTTGTATTATTCTAATTGAGAATTCAGATTGTGTGTAGATAATTCCTTCACATGTAAAGGCTGTCAAGACAGATTCATTTGTTAATCATTCATTTTAATTAAACGATAATATGAAGATACTGCTCAGTGCAGCCTGTTTCTTTCCTGCTCTCAGTAATGCAAACGTGTGAATAAATGTGTAAAAATACATGCATGTTAACTGTCATTTTAACGTGATCAAGTGATTTCTCGTCTTTTTTTCTTCATCAACACATTTAACACTGTCATAACTGCAATATTTTCACTCCTCCATAAAACGTATAGCAGATGTGACTGTATGGGCTGTTTTTCGCTGTACTTCGTGACACAAAAGGAATATTGAATGTTGTTCTGTGTCCATGATGATGAAACCTGCAGGCATTTGATGGACTTGTTCCTCCTCACGCCGTCGTCTGTTAAGGTAAGCGGGCTGTGTGCACGCGAGCGATACACTTATTTAAATATGTCTCATAATAATACTATATAGGCACATTTATACACGTTTTTTAAACTTTTAGAACAACCGCAAAGCAAAACAGATGTATTTCCCACGTAAAAACGATCCAAAAGGCACAAAGGTCTATGTGTGTTTGCGTATTTATTAGTTTATAATATATAGCGTGGATTACAATATAATAAACAGAGAGATTAACTCTTTGTCATGGACGTTATTTCTAAAAATGAGCTTGATAAGTCGTCTGTAGTAGGGAGCGTGGGGCTGACGTCACTGACGAGTGTTAGCTTTTCAAGTCTTGCGTTTGCATTTAAGATCCAAAAGTGCTCAATGTTGTATTTTCGTGTGACAATTATACGGCTAAACAAAACGTGTAAGTGTAATAAACAGTGTTTGAACGCAGAGCGTATTATTCGCAATCTTCGAAAACCCTATGGGAAAATCCTATCGGTCTTTGTCAGTCACGTGCATTTGTTGTGCGTGACGTCACACCGGCGCCATTTTTGTGGTATCGCTTCGCTTGACAACTTGAGAGAGACACATAACGCAAGAGAGATACATGCCATAACACGGTCAATCTGGAGAAATACAAGAGAATCGAGAGCACGCGGCACCGCAATAAACTAAACAAACATGCCAGGGATCGTCATTTTGATAAACTGACTTACATACAGGTTATAGATCCGTTTGAATTAACTGCAAACCAACGGAGTGCGCTGCCGCCGACCCCTTATTGCTGATAATAATGACATGTCATACTGTATATCATCAATGTCTTAATATACATTGTTTTAGTTTGAACATCATTAAACCACAATAAGTATTTGTAATTATGTATTGCATTTTTTTTTGTTTTATTTCATTAGGTACATCTAATACTTACATTTACAAACTATTGGATAGATGTTTGTATCCAAAGTATTTTACAAATATGAACAATAAATGGAATGAAAGCAACAGAACAAAAAATGTAAATATTATTATTAATTTTATTTAGTCAAATACATTGAGTGCATAGAGAACAAGATTAAATAAAATAAACATTAGATCAAATAATACACCCAAATATTAAGATATGTTGAACACAAATACATATATTATGATAAAAGCTGAAAACCTGTAACTACTGACTTCCATTGTTTTTGTTGGTTTTTCTACAATTTCAATTACAGATTTTCAGCTTTCTTTATGATATCTTTATTAGTGTAAAGAGAAAAAATAAACTCATAAAGGTTTACAACCACTTGATGGCAGGTAAATAGTAAGTCACTTTAAATATGTGGGTGAACTATTTAGTTCAAACTACTAATTGACTTATTGTTTAACTTTAAGCAAAAGCACTTGTCTCAGTTCTTTAAAGGATTATTTAGTTCAAGTAATAACTGCTTACCTTGTGTTTGGTTCTGATGTACCAGTTTTGTGATTGTGAAGAACATAAACAATAAATGAGTAAACAACACATTTTAAGTCATCCTCCATTTATTTACATTTATACAATTTATATTTTTATTCAGGCACTGAGGGAAAAGTCATTTCTGGAGGAATGCCCCGTACTGTTTACATAAGACAGGATGAAACATCAGCAAAACAGTCATACATACAGTGAAAGAAAACAAAGTTACAAAAATGTAAAGGAATTTTTTTAAATAATGTATCAATTATGCACAAAAAACATTTATACACCTGGGCTTTTAACTCTTATTGACATCTACAGCTCTTCTACACTACAAGTAAACGTTGCTTTGTTTGACAGTTACAATCCTATGCTGTAATGTGACATATCATGAAAATACTATATGCATATAATAATGAGCCATGGATGACCTGAGCTCAAACAAACCTTGTCGTTGTCTTGATGTACAGCCACAAAGCCAAGAAGAACAAAATCTGCCATGTCCTGTTGTAGTTTTACGGCAGTCTAAAAGTGCGAGCGGTTTTCAATTTCTCCAGGGAGCTCGCGATCGCATCTATATTCAATATAATGAACTCCTTGAACTGATGATAATAACGTGTGAGTGATTATTGAAGTGTCTCCGTCATCTGATGATCCATTCAGAAAGAAAAGAACAAACGCCAGAGTGAAGTGCGAAATAAAAGAATAAGCCCTACCAAACACAGGAGCAAATTGTTTCAGCAACCTGAATCAGGAACAAACTGCCATGTTTATCATCGCCTTTTGAACTATTGTGAACTCTGGTAAAGATTACAGACACAGATGAGAGGTTTGCACTGACTGTGAGCTGTATGTTGCATGTTGTTTTTGAACTCAAATAAGGACTAAATGTATGCTGTGATTAGTTTATCTGTAGTTCATAACATATCGGAGACTGTAAGAGGCTGTTGTGTTCATTTATGTTGCATTTATTAATTAATTTATATAATTGCAGACGTTACAGTAGGCTATTTTGCACTGTCATTGATTTGCAGTTATAATCAAATCATGTTCATAGGAAAGCTAGTAATAAATATTTATACACAAGCATTTATATGTGTAAAGCATCTGTTTTGTGAAGTGCTTCTCATGTGATATGTGAACGACCTGTACAGCTTTACTGTAGACATTTATTCGAGCGAAAATGACGTCGACTTAAACTTTCTGTCGTACACCACGCCCACCAAAAGGGTACCCTTGGTAGTGAAAACGCAAGCCTGACAAAGGTGACCTGTACTGACCCGAACCATACAGTACTGTACCACTCAGTGAAAACAAGCCAATAGTTTTCCAATAAACAATTGCTCAAAATATGGCAAGCCATGATTGACTTAAAGTCCATATTTTTAACTGATATGGCAAGCCATTTTTTACATAATTTTGCAATCTTTTACTGTCCATTTTTGCATGTATCACTTTCACACTTTATAGTTTATGTTTTTCACAAGCTTTATATTTTTAATAAAATATGGCAAGCCATTTCTAAATAAAATCCAAGTCCAGTTTTTTTGACTGTCACAGAGAGGGTTGACTTTTTTATGTATCTTCACTAAGTTGTCAATTGTCCCCATAGCAAAAAAAAAAACCAGGCTAACCTAGCAACCATTTAAAAACAGCAAAATCTCTACATCAGAACATTGTAGAGACCTGGGTATTTGCTCATTTGACTCATGCTAGCAAATGGGACTTCCTGTGTACTATGCAAGGTAATAATGATAAGCCAAAATGCAATTAGATTCATGCAATATTATCTAAGTGCAATAACATATGCTAGAAATGCATACTAAACATTAGCATTAGATCAAACATGTGCATGAGTATTGCCATTTAGCAACTGCTTAGCTACCACCTAGCAATGCCGTAAACATTTTAGCAACTGCCAAGCAACCACTTAGCAACCGCCGTACTTCCTGCCAACTGCTATTCCCAGTCCTAGCGCAGTCACGTTGGCTTTCTCAAGCCAACATCAAAGTTTATCAACGAACTTTAGGTTCTAGATAAATTTTATTTAATACTTAAGGATAAAAAGATATCTTGAATAATAAATCATTTGTTCATATTATTACAGTTTTATATTCATAAGGCAGCACGGTGGCTCAATGGTTAGCACTGGCGCCTCACAGCAATGTCGATGGTTTGAGTCCGGATTGGGTCAGTTGGCATTTCTGTGTGGAGTTTGCATGTTCTCCCCATGTTTGCGTGCATTTCCTCCGGGGGTCAATTTCCCCAAAGACCAAAGACAAGCGTTATAGCTGAATTGACCCTTTGCTACGCCACACCCAAAAACTGCCCCCCACCAATCGTGGTTTAGCAACTGTAGCTACGTGCAGGGGCTCTGTCAAGCTTTCAAGCGATGGAAACTAGCCAAAGCGTTGTGCATATGAATTTTGCAAATCTGGCACCAGGTATCCTTAAAATTTGGACGCGGTAGTGGAATTTTTTCCCTTTTTAAACCTAAAACCCAACAGGAGAAATGCCAGCGTGGATTAAGCTGGGTGGGGGCGCTAAAGGAGAGGAGATAAGTTGGTTTTGTTTTCGAATTGTTTTTATTTACATTCAGTGATAGACCGACGGCACTAACTCACATACCCTAAACAGATCTAAACTGTGTTTTCTACAAAAATACAAAGCAGGTTATGTTTCCCAGTGGTCTTTTCCTTTTTTCACTCAATATTATGAACACTGCTCCGTTTAAGCCCTCGCCCATGCTAATAGCAATCATATTTCCATCTGTTTCAAGCTACGAATATTTAAAATTACATATCAACAGAACAAAACCAAGTTCTGATCACAAACTGAGCACTTGTGATCAATATAGGCTACTTGTAGTAGGTAGCTGGTAGAGAAAATCTATCTGTTCACTTCTGCTGTTTATACTTTGATTTGCATTTCAATTTTTTTTTATTTCTTCCACTGAACTGCAAATTAGAATAGAAACAGGATAAAGATCACACAAACACACTGACAGTTATAGCTACTGCATTGTTATGGGTCAATGATGCTAATATTCAGCACAAATTCATAAATTTCCCTTTTCTGGTTGTTTTTTCTATGAATGAATTATGTTGAAGCACTGTCCATGCGTGTTTCCTCTCCGGTTAGTAACGGTAAATCTGGCTTTTTGGCTAAAAAAGAGAAATCACTGTTTAATTAGTTATTAGGTTAATTTTAAATTTCACCTCTCCTGCTGTGCATGAACTAAGCTGTTGACTAGTCAGCGTATGAGGTGGCTAGGCTAACCTAGCTTCACTTTTGATTAAATTATTTTCTAATCGGTTGCTATTAAGTTGTGAATATACCCCTGTAATGCATACTGCAGTACTTTTTTGTCTTGCTTTCTCAGATATCTCACCTGTTTGTCAAAAATTACTAATTATATCCCTGGCAATGTCTGACACTGGTGCATACACATTGTAATAGATGTGCCAGGCACGAAAGCTTGACAGGCGTAGCAACGGTAACTAAGGAGGGCGAGGCTTAACGATATCCGCTTGTTAAGTGTGACGTCGCGCGAAGCGGCTTCCGGGTCCAAGCGCTCTATTCAGCTGAATGGGGAAACTCATGAAATGGTAATAATAAACGTTTACAAAGCAATTTATTGCTTTCGAAAATCACAATCGCAGTATTGACCTTATTCTCCGCAGACGAGCGGGCGCTGCCATTTGAATCTTTTTGGCACGAGACTTCCGGTCTCATTCACTTCCATTCATTTTTAGACAGTAAAAACTGCTCGTTTCGCTGTTTGATGTTGCAAACTGATATTTCCTTGTTATATTATTCTACTTGGTCTGTATAGTCATGCAAACATTTGTTTGTGGTTTGACCGTTTTTTGCCGTTTATTATTCCTTGTCATTTCTCCCATAGGCGACTGAAACGGAAGTTCTAAGACAATCGCGAAAACAGGCGCACTTCCGCATTTTAGAATAAGGTCAATATTTGTCCATGCCTAATATCTGATGGCCAGAAAGTGATTAATTTTTTTATAAATTGTAAAATTTTTGGTATTTGTTATGTCGTAAGCCCAAAGATTGTTGTGTACACTATGACTTTATGTAAAATTAACTTTAATGTGTGATAGGAATAAAACGTGATCATAAACGAAGGATTTCTCCACTCAACTGAATGGCGGCTTGGACCCGGAAACAGTATTACATATGTCACAAACACGTCACCACTTAACAAGCGGATTGGCTGTAGTGTATGTTTAAGTGACTAAGCCGAAGGAAAATTAATGAATGAATCCATAAATGTACATTTTTTTAAAATACCCCAGTGGTCTTTGAAGAAGTATTTGTGATATATTTGAAGAGATATATTCGAAGACCTTAAGAGGGATAAAAAGACAAAAAGCAAGATATTTATATACTTTAATAGAGGATTTTGGTTTAATTTTTTTAAAACTTCAACTCCAGTGGAACTTATTTTCTTTATTTATCATTTATTTTATTTGTTCGTTTTTGTTATTCTTTTTATCTTGTATTATTATTATTAACATTAATGTGGATGAAAAGATTGTGAATGTTAATTGATTGTCATCTCAGTCGTTTGTGTAATTTAAAAGAAGTATTGTTAATGAGAGAGAGAGAAGTCACCAACCTCATAACTGTCCTCACCATTGTCCGCCCCGAACTCGTGCACACGACCTGCTGATAAACAATTATGTTTATAGACTTTTTAGTTAATGCAAAAATAAATTAACTAACTACATTCCTTGCAAATAAAATAATAACGATTTCTTTATCATTTGATGTTGTGGCTTATTACGACCTTTTATTTTAATGTGATGTTGTTGCCACATAAGTCTGTAATTTTGAGCAGGCAGAATGTAGACCCTAGACAGATGACGCGAAGGTCCTGAAAGAAACTGCGCATGTGACGCATGCTGTGCGCGGGAGCTGCTGTGAAGTAGTTGTACGTTCTTTATCATTTTACATTTTATTTGTTGAAGTGTTTTATTTCACCTTGTGATGTGTAATGTGATCAACCTATCTTAAAGTAAGTACATTTGTGATGTAATTGTGGAGAAATCCGCATTGATTTGGCGTAACGCGAGGAACTGTCAGCTAGCTGTTATCACTGAAGTGAAGCTAAAAACATATCCGTTCTCTTACTATGGCGTTCAATAATATTAAAGAGTCTACCACACGAAATGTTCATATCTAGAGAATTGTTCTTAAGTTGCTCAGCTGCTTGCAACAGTTTAGCTATAACCATATAATAGAGCTCAGTTGCTCATCATAACGCTGTCCCCAAACCCTGAGTGGCTTAACGTTACGTACACATTTTTGCAATCAATGTTTAAAAGCTCCAAGAACATTTGGGTGTTGTTTGTAATGTTGAATATCTTGACAGTGTGCGTATCTAGATGAAAGGATTGGTACGTGTTTTAAGCCCGTTCCGCATAAGAGCATTACGATCTACAATGATGAGTTAATGTTGGTTAACTTCACACATCCACAACAATGTCTAAGTAACGTTATGATGAAATAACGTTACAATTATTAATTCGTTAAAGGGGAAAGTTGGTTTTATATTTGCACATTCGGACTTTTTCCTTCATTCATTCATTTTTCTTTTTGGTTTAGTCCCTTTATTCATCTGAGGTCGCCACAGCGGAATTAACCGGCAATTAATCCAGCATATGAGCAATTCCAGCGTTATGGATGTGACATTTGCAGTAAAGCTCAAAACATAAATTCACATAGAAATGATATGTTAACATTATATTAAAACTTCTGTTTATATTTTCAGAATTACTGACCACAGAGTTACAGGACCAGAAAAATATTAATCTGTAAACATGTTTTGTACTTTATATGAGAAACATAAACATGCAATATGGATGTGTCAAAAAAAAAAGTCTGCGGGTTTACAGTAGACAACATACTTTGTAGAAATTCTGTAAACTGCACAACCCAAACAAAACAATGCTAATCAAAAGAATAAAGAGTTGCTCACTATACTGTATATTTTACAGTACATTAGAAATACGCAAGAATGCATCTGTTAATATTCTACAATTTCTGACCCGTTACATCTATAACGGATAGGTGTCGTTATGGATGTGACACCTCTCCGTTATAGATGTGATGGATGTCAAATTGTCACTTGTGTGACTTCAAATCAAGTAGAATAGTTTGAAAACATTGACAGATGCATTCTTGCGTAAAAAACCCATAAACTTAATTTTTTTTATGGCAAGGTTGACATTTGCACGGAATTGCTCATATGTTTTACACAGCGGATGCCCTTCTAGCCGCAACCCATCACTGGGAAACACCCATATACTCTCATTCCCGCACATGCTCTACGGACATTTTAGCGTACCCAATTCACCAATACTGCATGTGTTTGGACTGTGGATGAAACCGGAGCACCTAAAGGAAACCCACCCGAACATGGGGAGCACATCCAAACTCCACACAGAAATGCCAACTGGCCCAGCCAAGGCTAGAACCAGCAACCTTCTTGCTGTGAGGCGACAGCGCTACCCACTGCACCACCGTGCTGCACTTTTTCCTTAATATACTTGACAAATTCTAAATAGGTAAATCATATTAGAAGCCAGTGGCTTTCAAAGTACAAAGTACATTGATCACAGTCAGTTAAATAGTGCTAATGTTGTTTTGAAGTCACGCTTGCATGCTATTTCAGAGGAAATACTCAAAAGTAGCGTGGTAAACAATATAGATAGCGTGCCATAAGTTGTCACTGTTCAAAAAGAATGAATGTGCAAATATAAAATCAACTTTACCTCAATCCATTATTTTTGCTGCTCCAGCTTTATATTAATTAGGAATATATTTCAAATTCATCTATGTGTATGAAGCAGGGGTTTAGGCATGGGCCGGTATAAAATTATGTATATTAGTGTGATAACCTTGGATAAAAATATCACTGTTTCAAGGTATTGGGATTACTGCTCTAGAATATATTCTTTGTAAATGTCTGGGTTAAAATTAAAAAAACTTTTTTACCCTTTTGAACATAGTATATCTAACATTTTAAATATTGGAACAGTAAACATGTCAGGCCAAATAAATTGACTTCTGCGGTCTTTGTTTGTTTAAATTTAATTCAAAACAGCATCTTCTCTGCTGGAGATATTATTGTCCTAAAAAAATCACAAATAAAAAATTGTACACATACCTTAGGAACCATATTGCAAAAATTTTTTGGCTGTTTTTAAACATTCACTTTTTCAAACCGCTGTATACCTTTAAAATATCGTCCCATACCTAGCAGGTTTTTCACTGGAAATCCTTGAATATGGTTTTGCTTTTGCTGGGGCTCGAACCAGCAACCGTCTTGCTGTGAGGCGTTTTTGCCACCCACTGTGCCACCGTGCTGCTTGTGGCAAATATACCATCAAAATTTGTCCTTGAAATACTATACTAAAGTACCACAGAATACTATAGCAAATTGTATCTGGTATATTGTAGTATAAAGTATGTACAGTATGTGTATGTGCATGTTTATATGTAATTTACCACAATTGTATCTGTAGTGTGCTTGAAAATGCTCAAATTTGACTTTGAAATGTGTAAGAAGCCTAACAGGATATAAATCATGAATTGTGTTTTGCTGCCTGACTTTGTAGAATAGAACTATTCTTATAATTAAAATCGATCATGTAGAGGTTGACTCTGGATGGTTCATCCTAAGATTAAAACGACGTCATCATTTAGTCTCCCTCATGTGATTTCAAACCTTTGAGTTTTTCATCTGTTGAACACAGAAGATAATTTGCAAAATGCTGGTTGCAGGTACCCATTGACTTCCATAGATGGAAAAAATGCAGTGCTTAAAGCATTCTTCAAAATATTATCTTTTGAGTAAATGATGACGGCATTCTCAATTTGGAGTGAATCATCTGTTTAACAGTCATTGTATACACATGGTTGACATTTTGTCCAAAGGTTGTTGGTAAAACAAAATCTCTAAAGTGCAAGTTAAAGATGTATGATACTGAATATTTTTTGTGTTTTTTTTAGCACAATGGCATTTAACTTTGGACAAACAGGCACTGGAGGCTTCAATTTTGGAACCCCTAAAACTACCGCTGCAGCCACCACAGGTTTCGGTGTACCTCAGGGTTCCAGCACTCCAGCAGGAGGGGGCTTCTCTTTCGGGGCCAACCAACCCCAGACTCAAAACTTTGGAAACCCACCATCTCAGATAGCAGGACTTCTTGCACAGCCGACACAGAACAATGGAAGCACGCAAGGTGGATTCGGCTTTGGAGCCCAAGCTCAGAGTACCACTGCAGGTGGAGGCTTCTCTTTTGGGTAAGTTTTTGTCTGGGGCGATTTTTTTTCTTCTTTTTCTTAAAGCAAATAAAAAGCAATTCTAAAGCATTTCATGCAAGAAGGAAAAAATAAAGATATTTATCTAATTTGTATCTTTGTTCTATTGTATTTATTTGTGCAGTCAATTGCATTTTTTTTGTCAATACCGACTGTTTACTTTTCAAAGTCCCTTAAATATAAATTTTATTTAGGCTAGTAGTTTTTTAGGCTTGAGGCTAAAAAAATATTTTGAGGGTTCAAAAAGACCATAAAGTGGCCGTTCACTCAAATGTGTGTGTAATTGCACAAATGTGTGTAAAACCAACTGATTTAAAATAATAAGAATGTCATACGGGAGTCTCATTTCTGTTTTCTTCGTTTACAGTGTTCCTACTGGTTCTTGAAGGGATAGTGTAAAATCTTGTCATTCTGCGTTGACCTTTCACTAGTTCTGAACTTATTTATAGTGAAAATTTTTTTAATGAACAGAAAAGAGGATATTTTGGGGAAAAAGCGGGAAACCATGACCTTTAACCTCCACAGTATTTTTTTCATATTATGGAATGTAATATAATTATTTTAATTAACTATTTATTTTTTTTTGTAAATGAAGCAATACAAATAGACTAAATGAGGAAAGCAAAATACTATAAACGGCCAAATATACCCTTGTAAGTACATATATAAAATATAGGGCTGTATGATTAATCGAAATTGAATCGCAATTTGAAACGTTGCACAGTTAATCGCAAGAGGCTGCAATATAAAATATAGATATTATTTTATTTCCTCCACCCATAGCAAATGGGTGACTGATGGCTGTGTGTGACTGTTTCTAACCAAATGAGTGAGCACACTTTTGTTCTGCCCAATCAGAGTTATGCAACCGAAGTATGCCCACAATAAAAAATAGAAAAACAAACAGGAAATCGCTGATAAGTGGGATTATGGTGTCTGCTGCTTCAGAAGCCCTAATAGACAAATTACTAGCAAAGAAAACAGCATTTGTAATATGAGAATATTTTGGTTTAAAAGTCACAGACACAGAACAAAATCAGGTCATGTTTAGGAGCTGTTGTAGAATTGTTGCCATGACTCACAGATTATTGATTTGAAGCTTGACTAAAAGATTAAATCCTAAATCAAATTGCGATCGCAAAATCTGTGAAAAAAATTTGCAATTAGGTATTTTCCCCAAATCGCACCTAATCTAATTTATATTAATAAGTTATAATAATAAAAATAAAATTAGAAAATAATGAATTTTTATTTTTCTTATCTCATCCTCACTCCTATTATAGATTTCAATGGTTAGATCAGTAAGACAAATGGTTTGAAACACACGAAGGAAAGTGAAAAGTGAGAACATTTTCATTTTAAGGGGAGGGGGGGGGGGGTATCCTAATATTAATTTTTTTCTAGACAAACCTATAATATACATTTGTTCATCCATAGTTCTTTCTGGACACTCAATAGAATGTTAACTAGGGCTGCAACAACAAATCGATTAAATCAATAAAAATTGATTACTGAAAGCGTTGGCAACGAATTTCATTAACGATTCGTTGTGTCGCGCGACATGGAGACTTTTGATAAAAAAGCACACTGTAGCTCAGCGCGGAGCGGAGAAAACACGGCACCTCTCCCTCTCTTGCGCACTGATACAGAGTTCAGCGCCTCAAGAAGACAGGGATGATGCGGAAGAATCACTACAGAATTCTACTTTTGTTCCGTTTTGAAGTGAGAACCGTAAAGTCCCTGGTGCTAGTTTCTTTGTGTCTGGCGCTGAGCCAGAGAAAGACTGCAGGGTTAAGCAGGTTTTGTTTTCAGTATTCCTGACACATTCAGTGATAGAGGGCATTACACAAAAAAACTCTTACCCTAAAAAGATCTAAACGATGTTTTCTACACAAAAGACAAAGCAGGTTATGCTTCACAGCTGTCTTTTTAATTTTTTTCGCTTTTTTATTTTTGACGAGCACTGCTCCATTTAAGCAGTCGCAATATGCGCTGAGCCAGAGAGCTTGCGCTGAGGAAAGCTCTCAGTAAAGGACCGTCGGAAAAGTGCTGCTTTTTTTTTCCAATTTTTCTTTTCGAAAACAAAACCAACTTAACACTGCTGAAAGACGAGTCATATTATCACAATTATGCAGCATTTTAATCGTCTAATACTTCATTTATGTTTTAGATATGTAAATACAGACAAGTACTTAGTAAAACAATACATTTAGAGTTTGTAAAACACACAAGAAAGTCTAACAATCCATTCAAGTATAATTTGCCGATGTGTTTTATTCATATCAGATACATATTACACATAGTGAAAGAAACTATAAAGTTGAATCTATGCTTCTCCAAGTTCACCAGCCACTTACTTGCATGTATTTTGGGAGTAACTTATGAATGTACCTGCTGAATCCTGTGTTCTCCTTTTATGAATGAGGCAGCGGCCGCAAGTAAACAAGGAGACGTCCATCTCATGTTATAAATCATGATCACTTACACGTTTATGTGAATTGGAATATCAGGTAGTTGATGACATGATGAGCAAGTGTGTGAATGTTGTCTTTTTTGCATCCTTCATTTTTCCATCTGTATTCATGTATAGCTGCACTGCAGAAAGCTGTTCTTTCTTAGTCATTTTGTCACGTTTCCAGTTCAAATATCTAAAAAATCTCACATCAAGAAAAATGGCATGAGAAAACGAAGTGATGCTGTTTCAGATTATATGTCATTAAGATAATTTTTCATGCCCCATTAGCAAATAATTTTGCTTGTTTTAAGCAAACAATCACTTAATTTTGAGGTTAAGTGATTTCTTATGCTATTTCATGTGTCTAGTCTGTATCTTCATTTAAAAACATTTAGATATTTGGATTGAAAACAGTTTATTATTATTATTATAACAGCTCAGGCATAAGCTTTTTGTAATGAAGGGTTGGAAATTAAGGCTTTTCTTGTTTTTTTCTTCGATTAATCGAAAAAAATAGACAGATTAATCGATTATTAAAATAATCGTTAGTTGCAGCCCTTATGTTAACATCTTTTAATGTAGCATTTTTAGGGGTGTGTCGTCAGTTTATTTTACTATGACTTCACAAGTGACAGTGAAACAGCAAGGTTAAAAATGACAATTCTGTAATGTTTCATGCTGTTTATGTCTTTGCATCTAGTGGCTCCCTTCCAAAACTCAGCACACCTGCAGCACCTCAACCTGCAACCACAGGTGTGAGTCTGGGGGCTTCAACCACTGGGACAGGCTTCTCTCTCGGGGGGCTCACCCCTCAGACAACTGCAGCCCAGCAGCCTATGGGAGGATTTAGCTTTGGGGCGCCCAAAGTTCAGGCTGCCTCAGTTGCCCCGGCACAGCCCACCCCTGTGCTCTCACTAGGAGTTCAACCTACCACAGGTAACACGACAGTACCTTGACACCGAGTACGTTTACATGAACACCAATATTCCAGTTTTAATACCATTAAGACAATACTGTGATTAAGAGTGCTTTTACTCATGTAGATCGATTGTTTCATTTCAAAACAGGGATTTAAATTGTTAATGTTTATTTTTGTTCTTGGTGCAGTTCACTTTCATACGGCAAAGTTTCTATACGGACCAAAATAGCTAAAACAAATCATGTGCGAGTAAACGCCCCTCACGTTGGTCAGAGTTTCACGGTTTATTTTTCAGCTCAGCTGTCATGCGTCCTTATTTTAGTTTGAGGTGATGAGCAATAAGATATTATGAGTGAGAAGCTTTCATTTTGAATGGTGACACGCACAGACATAGTCACCAAATATAAATCAGAGGTAGAATTGGCTAGAATTATGCATTATAGGCTTATCATTATAAAGAGAAATAACAGATAAACCAAGACTGCAGTTCAGTCAATTTCAGCTCTCGGTAAAAGCATACTTTTACTTTCGTATTCGGCATGAAACACACATTTACTGGTAGGAATGACATCCCATCCTACTTCAATGACAGATGTCGTGAGTGCAGTATTACAACTCGAGATCGCATATTTTATACGAGCATGTGAATCTCTTTGCTTGCGCGCCGATTTTCCCGTGCACAAAACTACTTGCATGCTCCCTCAAATATATGCTGCTCAAGCGCAGATTTTCTTATGCGCTCTTAAATAAATGCTGCTGATGTGCGATTTAGTGCGTTTATGTAACGAATATGTCTACAACATTTATTAGTTTTTCAAGGAATATTTAAGAATGTCTCCAATAGACCCAGAGCAACATTAATGCGTCTTGAAGTAAAGTGAAACAGCCAAGATAAGGTCATTGTATGCAGAGCCAGACTTTTATCTATAAAGCATACTTATAGAAACTGTTCATCTCTGTTCATCTGAAAGCTACGCCGTGTTTGCTGGCCTCACGTATAGCGCAGTCCTGTCTTTCAATCAGGCAGCATGTCACCTTAAAGGGTTAAACAAATAGCGCACAGCACTACTACGATGACAGAAAAGTTTGCGCTGTTATAATTCACTTACCTTTTAATACGTTTTGTTGCGATTATAACCTGCTATTAAAAACACAATGACTGAATGTTTTGAAGCTGTAATGTAGCCATGGCGGGATGACTTTTGGTGTGGCGCCCACCATGGAAGAATGAATTTAGCAGAAAAAATGTAAAGCCATATATGCCTATTACATATTAATGATACACTGTGATACAGCCTGTTTCTTTGTTTATTGGATCGTATTGCTTTCTCACAACATTCAATCTGCTCCAGAGTTTGATTTAATTGAGCCGAGACCTCCTCATTCAGGCAATCTCGGACCGATTGTTTGGTGCAGATTCGAGTGTGATTGCGGGATTCATATATAAAAAACTAAGTGCACCAGGTTTCGAAACCAAAGTCTCGGTGTGAGAGCACTTTAAAGGGGGTCGCACACCAGATGTGTCTCTCAGCGAAGAATTTTCGAATTTTAAGAATTCTAAACATTTTTACGACTTCCTCGTTTGAGTCGCAACATAAGAGTTCAGACGACAAAATTATATATACAACTTTTGTATTATACATAGAACTAATAGAACAACAAATCAAGCAAACAAACAAATGTCTAGAGCCAAAGAAGATAAATAACTTAATATAGTCACAACTAACTTTAACTACATGATATAAATAATGCAAAACAAAACCATAAGGTTACAGAATAAAAGAGATGGTCTTGACACGAGGACGTCCAAGTAGCCACTCTGTCCTCCAGAAGCTAGCTCAACAGTCTTATTTATATGCTTTAAACCAATCGGTGAGCAAACAGGCACACAATCAGGATCTGCCACATCCAAACTGGAATCCTGGGGTCATCACAACATAGAATTCTATCAGGGTATGCACACCGGCTCCGCAGGTCGGTGGCTGTCCGTTACAACTCAGGACAATTGTTCATATTTTTGCAGCACCACAGAGCATCATCTGAATAGTTTAATATTAAATAACATGCAAATGTGCGTGTGGTGTGCAAGACTTCCAACTGTCATGCGCTGCTCAGCATTGTGATACATCCGGTGTGCGATCCGCTTAAGAGTCTACCATGTGAACAGAGTTTTTTGGTAACCTTAATTCCACTAATGTTTAATCAAACTAAACAGAAATCAAATTAAGACATGTGGAGTGTTCCTATTGTATTAGCATTTTTAAAGTTCAGTAAAGACATCTAAACATCTTAAACTATTAGCATTTTGTAGTACTTTTGGCTAGATTTTGTGGCAGGAGGGTTGTCAGGCATCAAATGACAAACACATGAGAATCGCTTCAAGCATGAGCACATTTTTGGTGCGAGCAGGAACCTATGGCTATCTTAGAAACAGTATTGTTCCCTGAAATAAGAATGTACCAGCCACTAATCTGATGCTATAAGGTGACGCAGAAAGTAGCTTTGCGATTCACAAGATTCAATAAAAACACATGGCAGTTTTTTGTTTGTTTGTTTTTTGCCTGGACTTTACATGACTTCAGACAAGCTAACCTAATTGCTCTTTACCACACTGAAATGCACTGCTACTATCAGTGGTGTAATGTAACTAATTACAAAAACTCAAATTACTGTAATTGAAGTAGTTTTAAAAATGTGCACGTTTACTCTCACTTGAGTACATTTTTAGTGCAGAATCTGTACTTTTACTTCACTACTTTCCTTCAACCTGCTGTCACTATTTTTTAATTTTTATTGGAATTAGAAAAATCAGTCCTGTAATTCCTGTTAAATCAAATCACACATAGAAGGTAAATTGCATCATAATGAACTACTTCAAGACATGTGCACTTTACAATGCAGCAAACTGTTTGAAAGCATTAAAAGTGTCCAAGAAGATGTGCAAAATCTTTACACGCATTGACCCAGAGACTTTTAGATCAGGGATGCCCAAACACAGTCCTGGAGGGCCGATGTCCTACAGATTTTAGCTCCAACTTGTTTCAACACACCTGCAAGGATGTTTCTAGAAAGCCTAGTATGAGATTGATTAGCTAGCCCAGGTGCGTCTAATTGAGATTGGAACTAAACTTTGCAGGACACCGGCCCTCCAGGACCAAGTATGGGCACCCCTGGTTTAGATGCATGTCACCGATGAGAAGATGATTGATATTTACTGTACAATGACCGAAATGGCCTTAAACACCCAGCAGGCACAAGACGTCGACATGCCGTCAGATTGAAATTGTGCCCTAACGTCGTGGAAACGTTGCATTTTGTTTGGGAATGAATATCAGGTTTACATCAGAGCTCAACGTCAGTGTCCAACCTAAAACCAACCAAATAATAACGTCAAATAATGTTACAGCTTGACGTTGTGTCGACGTTACTACTATGACATCTATCAGACGTTGAATTTTGGTTTCTTGCCATAACTGATGAATAAATTTCAGTATTTGACATTAATAGGATGTTGGTTTAAGATGTTGGCTCGGCATTGGATTTTGGTCACTTTCTAACAACCTAAAATCAACCAAATATCAACGTCATTTGACATCATTATTGGACATCCAAATAACGTTGTCCTTATGACGCTGGCTAGACATTGAATTTTGGTCACCTGACATCACAACCTAAATCTAACCTAATATTAACATCTTATGACATTGTGTTACTAATGGGCAATGACTAAATGCACTACAGAATGTTACATTTACACACACATCCACAAATGACATGTAAATGCATCAACTTTTAACAGCATAATACTCACTACTCTTGAGTACTTTTAAAAGGGCTACTTTTTACTCCTACTTTTAGTATAATTTACAACAGGTACTTTTACTCTACTCACACTACATTTTTAGCCAAGTAATGGTACTTTTACTTAAATATGCTTTTTCAGTACTCTTTCCACCACTGGGTACTATATAATATAAAATTGTGCTTTTTTTTTCTTGAATATTTATTCCGGTATTCATTTGCTTTTGATTTATAGGTCTGTCTCTTGGTGCTCCTACTGCTGCCTCCATTGCTTCCACAACTGCTATTAATTTTGGAATTAAAACTTCAGGCATGTACAATTGTTTCTATTGCAATTATTATAATTAATAAAATTTAAAAAAATTTTTAAATGGTTGTATAACATGTTTTTTTTTCTTGTTTAGCTACTCCAGCCCCAGCCAGCACTGCGCTATCTAGTCAATCCTCGACAGCTCCAGTGTCCTCTCTGTTTGCTAATCCTATAGCCTCAACTCCAGTCACAGGATTCACATGTGAGTTCCTATTCCAGCTCTTGTCATAAAGAAAATTATTGTTCAGTCATTTTCCCAATCAAACCTGCATGTAAACTGCATAGTTATACACATAGATCACACATGTGATTGTGTACATATCAGGCAGTTATTACTTGAGGATTACTTGATTACTCATGAAATATGGTCTGATCTTTTTACACATCACATTTATAAAGCACTTACCAAATTGCTTACTGACAGTGCAGGTGGGAAAAAGTGAAACTGACTTCTCTAAAAGTTAACTGTAGGACTGCAGGCGCCCTCTAGTGTCTTGCTTAACTTATTTTGGCAGATCCAAAAGAGAACTGTGCTATCAGGAAATAATGATCAACTGCAATAGATTTGTGTCACAGGATGGTCAAATGTAGGACAAAGGCCTTATTAGGACCTAAAGAAAAGATTTGTTGGCGGGTTTAAAGCTAAAAGCTGATATAAACGATCCTCTCTCATGATTCTGTATAATCAAAACATGGTTATTAACAAGCATAAGGTTAATAATGATTACAATGTTAATAGAACTAAGGGCTGCTTATGGGAAAAATCATAATCACGATTATTTTGGTCATAATTGTAATCACGATTATTCAAAACGATTATCAGTTGAAGTCAAAATTCTTCATCCTCCTGTGAATTTATTTTTATATATAAATATTTCCCAAATGATGTTTAACAGAGGGGTTTTTACAGGATTTCCTATGAATTTTTCTTCTTCTGGAGTAGGGTTGTAACAATATACCGGTATGACGGTTTACCACGATTTGAACGTGCACGATTATCATACCATGAACAATTGCATATCAACGGTTTTAACCCTTAAAGACCGAGACAGCCGCCCGTGGCAAAAAATAAGTATTGCTCTTAAATGTTTAATAACTTTTGATCCACTGATCCGATTCATACAATTCAAAGATTGGCATAAAGAAGAGAATCTCAGCTTTCCAGTGCTGTATCACATAACATTCGCGGACTTTCAGAGGCTCCGGAATCAGTGCGGTTACGTCATCAACATTTGACAACGCTGATTTGACAAAGAAACGCTCGTCACTGTGTCTCCGGACAAACCAGACATGATACATTGATGCATTATCCCTCCTCCATGCCCAGATTGGTTCAAACTCGCTATATCACAACCAATAAGCATAGGTTTCGCTTTTGTTTGTGGACCAAAAACGAGCTTTTTGAACAACACGGAATGAAAGAAAGGCATACATTTTTGCGCGGCTAAATAAAACGCAAAAAAAAAAAGTTTTGCATGAAATAATTCTCATACTAAGTACTTTTGCATGCACAGCAGCACAGAAACATGACAAAACAGTGACACAGCAAAGACGAAGTGCTGCTCTTGCTGTTTTCAAAAGACGCAAATGAAGATGCAGCTGTTTGTCTGCATTGCAGACAACCAAATCCATATCCACAGACAACCATATCCATGCTGGCACATAAAACCTAAGGATGTTCCATATTGAATCTAGTTTCGTTATGTAACTATTTATAGTATAGTAAACATTTATATCTATTTTTTACTGAGGATTTGCACCATGTTTATTTGGACTTTATTTGGACTTTGACACATTATTTATTGTTTTCTTATTTTTTTATTTGTTCATTGCAAGTGGTGTTTATAGTAACTAAAAATATATTATTTGGAAAAAGTCAAATTTGCTTCACTGTTCTATTATTTTGTAACATTTGTAACATACCGTATACCGCGAAACCGTCAAACCGTGGTATTGTTTTAGACGATTATCATACCGTGAAAAATTCATACCGTTACAACCCTATTCTGGAGAAAGGCTTATTTGTTTTATTTCAGCTAGAATAAAAGCAGGTTTGAATATTTTGAAACCTATAATAGCTCGATATTATTAGCCCCTTTAAGCAATATATATGTTTGATTGTCTGCAGAAGAAACTACTGTTATACAATGACTTATCTATTTACCCTAATTAAGCCTTTGAATGTCACTGAATACTAGTATCTTGAAGAATATCTATAAATGTGTAAAATATTATGTGCTGTCATCATAGCAAAGATAAAAGTAATCAGTTTTTAGAAATGAGTTATTAAATCTGTTGTTTAAACTGTGCTTTAAGCATCTTCACTGTATTTTTGATTTTATTATTGATTAATAATAAAAACAGTCGGCAGCAGCAGGAATATCGCACGCTGTCTTTTTAAGAATAGTGCGGCTCATGGGTTTCTCTTTCACGTGTCTTTTGATTCTCAACTTGTTAGTTTATTACACAAATGGGGGTTAATATGAATAATCAATAAACACCGCGCTCTGACACAAATGTGCATGTATTTGACCATTAAAGCGCTCACATTAAGATCGCGTTAGATGTGTGTGTGCTCTGCTGTCCGAGGCTAAGCGCGGCGCGCGCGCAAACAAACACACATGCTACCTGTCCGAGGCCAGACACAGCGCGCACACACACAACAGCACGTGCTCTTTTGTGGTTTTAAAATTATGAATGATGCGCATCCCGTGCTGCAAAAGTTACATTACAGCACATGCTTTTAGTCATTATCACGTGGAACTTAGCTTTGCAGAGGCAAAGAGTTTTCACACGTGTACAACTGTAAAGGGGGCAGTACGTGATGGAATAATCGTTTATCTCGATTAATGATTTTTCATAATCGTTAAAAGCCAAAATCAAAATCGGATTTTCGATTAATTGCACATCCCTAATAGAACTTTCCTACGGTGGTCTGATTCAGCTATGCAAGTTATTGATGGGCTGAATGATATGACCTAATATTCAAATATATATTAATTGAAGACTTTACAATGATTATTTAACAATTATTGTTTTTATTTTACAATTCTCTATTTTTTGCATAATTGTTCATTAATGGTTTAAAAAAAGATGTATTAAAAGAATAATTGTTTTACAAATGAAAAAGCATATTTCTTATTGTGATATTTAAAACACTTGACAGAAACAAGTTATGGTTATTTGTAGAGTATTTTAAACAACTGAAATATACATTTAATTTGCGTTTAAAATGGTCACAGTAGAACATAATGTGTATCTCTTAAATTAATTAGTGCTGGGCAAACAGTAGACGCATGTTTTTGGCACAATATATCTGTGTATGTATATGAGATGTACACGCATGCATAATACTGATCAAAAAAATTGTTACAAATTTACATATAATTGGTATCACATATTCATGTTTTCTCAAATATATGCACACGTGTGTATTTAAATGGACATAATAAATATACATAGCACACACTCATACACTAACCGGCCACTTTGTTAGGTACACCTGTCCAACTGCTTGTTAACTCAAATTTCTAATCAGCCAATCACATGGCAGCAACTCAATGCATTTAGGCATGTAGACATGGTCAAGACATGGTCTGCTGCAGTTCAAACTGATCATCATAATGGGAAAGAAAGGGGATTTAATTAACTTTGAATGTAGCATGCTTGTTAGTACCAGACATGCTGGTCTGAGTATTTCAGAAACTGCTGATCTACTGGGATTTTCACGCACAACTATCTCTAAGGTTGAATAGTCTGAAAAAGAGAAAATATCTAGTGAGCAGTTCTGGGGGCGCAAATGCCTTGTTGATGCCAGAGGTCAGAGGAGAATTGCCATACTGGTTCAAGCTGATAGAAAGGCAACAGTAACTCAAATAACCACTCGTTACAACCGAGGTATGCAGGAGAGGATCTCTGATCACACAACACGTCGAACCTGCAACAAACTGCATTTCATTGCCTTGTACTTCTACTTGTTCAATGACAATAAAGTTGAATCTAATCTAAAAGAAAAACCTTGAGGCAGATGGGCTACAGCAGCAGAAGACCACACTGGGTGCCACTACTGTCAGTTAAAAACAGGAATTTGCACAGGATCACCAAAATTGGACAATAGAATAGTGGAAAAAGTTGCCTGGTCAGAGTCTCGATTTCTGCTGCGACATTCGGATGGTAGGGTCAGAATTTTGTGTCAGCAACATGAAAGCATGGATCCATCCTGCCTTGCATCAACGGTTCAAGCTGATGGTGGTAGTGTAACGGTATGGAAATGTTGTTTCGACACACTTTGGACCCATTAGTACCAATTGAGTCATCGTGTCAACACCACAGCCTACCCTGAGTATTGTTGCTGACCATCCCTTTATGACCACAGTGTACCATCTTCTGATGGCTACTTCCAGCAGCATGCATTTCCTCACACACCATGTCAAAGCACGAATCATCTCAGACTGGTTTTTTGAACAAGACAATAAGTTCACTGTACTGAAATGCCCTCCACAGTCACCTGATTTCAATCCAATAGAGCAGCTTTGGGATGTGGTGGAACGGGAGATTGGCATCATGGATGTGCAGCCGACAAATCTGCAGCAACTGTGTGATGCTATCATGTCAATATGCACCATAATCTCTGACTTTGTTGAATCTATGCATGACGGATTGAGGCAGTTCTGAAGGCAAAACGGCATCCAACCGAGCACTAGTAAGGTGTACTTAATAAAGTGGCTGTTGAGTGTATAACATGTCTGTGTTTTATCTGCCATTTATCTGAGGTGCATAAGACTCTCTTGCCTTCTTTCTCTTTGCATGTATACACTGACATGAAGACGAATTGTCGCTCACTGTGCTGTCAGTGAAGTTACCTTGTTCAATTTAATTCAAGCCTGCTCATGTAGCGCTTTTCACAATAATTTAAAAATGAAAGCAGGATAGGATGGACCCTATATCTTTCATACATAGACAAAGTTGATCTGCACAGTAACACAATATGTACTTTTAGAAGAAATCATACCTGAGTATATGCGTTTTTTAAAAAGTTATCTGATCATTATAATAAGTATATAATTTTAAATATTGATCAAGTGTTTGTACTGTCCTCAAAGTCACTTGCAAAAGTGTGTTTCAATGGGAAAGTTTTAATGTTATTAACGAACCAAGATAACTGATGTAATTTCCCTATGTCGGTTATTTAGGGTTTTTCATAGTGTTAATAATTTCCCCTTAATACTTCTAGATTTCAGTTTTGATTTTGAATAATGGTTTAGCCCTAGGCTACAGTTTCTCATTGTTCAGGTTTTGTGAGTGTTGGGGTATTTCTTCAGTATTCCACAAACCTCTCCACTGTTTTGTAAGCATTCAGCTTTCGGTTGTTATGACTGCTGTGACGGGAGAGAAAGATTAGCCAGTGTACACCATGTCTTGTTCCCAAGAGCATTTACAAAAACAATTAGTGGATGTTTTGATATAATACACACTAAAGGCATGGAGTTTAGATGTTTTACTTAATTTATTCACATTATACTGTGGTTACTCTTAACTACTTTATGAATGAAAATTACATTCTGTATAATTTATTATGTAGGAGGCCTATAACTTGATGATCAGACCACATGTTAGCAGTCTTAATTAATGGAAAAAAATACCAGATATTTTCAGTACATTTTATTCTTTTCACTACATTTTAGTATGCTATATATCATACTTTGACTTGTGTGAGAAGCCACTTTTGACAAAAAGATTGTTTTAAAAGTTCGCTTCAGCAATTCATCATGTTTGCATGGTGACTCTGAGCATTGTTGTAACAACTAGCTCAGACTAAGCAAAACAAGATAAAGCTGCTTTTGCAATATCTTGAAGACTGAAAAAGCTTGTCACACTCACAAATGAATGACTCAGTCATCAAATATTTGAATCCACATCAAAAAGTCTTTCTAAATGTATCCATTATTCTCAAAGGTGCAATAGGAGATCTTGGAAAATGCTAACGTTAACCAGATAGCACTAAAGGTTGCCAAATCGCTTTCCAAAGAACACACCCTAGACAACATCACTACAATGTTCATGTTACATTCATCAGAGAGAAAACATTATGGTGCAGTTTTAACTTAACTTTAAACCTAAAACCAGAAGTCCACTGTCTGAACCGCATCTGTAAATGTGCTGATGACGTAATTCTTTCTGCGCGAATGGTGTGCTCAGTGGTATACAATTACATATTTTGACAGGCAGGTATGACAGCCTATCGTAATGTTCGGACCTAACATTTTGATTGGACAAGCTTTTCTTTTAATAAATTTATATTATAATCAATTATAGGACTTGACATTAACATCCGCCAACCTGCCAAATGTGGGTAGATTTCAGCTGTGGCGGATTAGATCGCCACTCCCGCTAGCGACTTTAGCTGGTTGAACATGATTTTTAAATTGCTAGTGCTGGCTCGTCTCTAAATTTAGAATTTTCATTTATAATTTGTCAATATGCATGCAGATGTGATCTTAAATCGAGAAGCAGCATGACTTAATTGTTCGTGCATGCAAAAGAAAGCAAGTCAATATGAGAATATTCAGAATGAGATATTCAGGCGCACAGTTAGACACAGGAGATCCTTACTCACTAATGAGGGCTTTAGTGTTGGTCGCACAGTTGATGTGATGCATGAGTGCTTAAAAGCTCCCGTGTCCCGTTTCCTTGCATGAAGCAACCATGCCAAAAAACAAAACTGGTGCGATCGGTTCTCTTTGAAATAGACTGGGTAAAAAGGCAATGCTCGTGCACCCACAGTCCTGCTGCTTTCTGAGATTTTTTTGTAAGCAGCAGCATTTTTTTTAATAACCATTATTTGAACAGATTATTAATAGGCCTATCATTAGCCTTGTGTGTGTGGTCATACTTTTATTATCGCACATGGATGTCCACAACTATATTAAATTTTAAACTTTAGTTGATGTGTAATGTAGCTGTGCAAACATAAACAACATTTCTAAATGTATTTTGCTCAAAGTTCAGTGTAAAGGGAGACGTTGGCTTTTACAGAGTTAGCTTAGCAAAGCCTACAGCGAACGAAGTTTGAGGACTAAAAAAAAAGCATCCGGGTTAATGAAGTCATAAACCCTTCAGGTTACACACAAACACCCCGTCCAGCGAAGAGAAATCCAAATGTTTTCCGACTGCAATGGTAAATGGCCAATTTTACAATCTGACAGATTTATTAGCTGATAACTTTTGTCTGAAATGTTGTAAAACAGTTTTATGCCTGGATTTTATAAATAGCCTTGCATCTACTAACACGGACTGTATTTGAAGTCTTTGGAAGTGATTAGCATTTTTCTTCTGTAGAAAAAAATCTCATAAAAATAACGCTAAGCGGCTCAATGTATTACATCAGTGTTCTAAAAGACTAAACACTTTATTGATATAATGTACAACCAAGCACATGTAGTCAGAAAACAAACGAGTCCTAGGTGATGAAGGTAAAAGTGTTTGTCCCGAAGAAAAGCCCGTCTAAACAAAATGCTAACAGGCATCTGTTGCTCTGCTCATGCTCCAACTCTTTTCCCTTGTTGGGTATCCCCCGGTCAGTGCGATAATGCGTGAACAAAGTAGCGATGCTTGGCCATGCGGCGCCTACTTGCAGCTACTTTTGCGCTCTTCAGAAACCTATGGGTGATGTCACGGATACTATGTCCATATTTTTTAGTCTATGGTTGAAACAGACGTTTCTTGGTGATGTGATCTGCAACGTACTGAATATTGTTAGCTGACCAATCAGAGCCTCTTGAGGGCGGGTCTTCAGAGGAACTATGAAATATGACAGTCTTTTTCATGTTAGCTAAGAAGCTGTATAATCAAAGTAGGATATATATATATATATATATATATATATATATATATATATACATTTATATACAATATTAAAATACAAAAATTGACTCTCCATATACTTAACTAGTGATCTGAGACCTTCAGCCAGGACCGATTACTGTGTATAGTTTGATAAATTCGTTTTTTTTTTTTTAAATGTCAGTTGTTTTTTAAAGAACATTTTTGTTGAATAATAAGTGCATTGCTATATTTAGCTTGTTTTTACACATTATTTAAAATTTGTGGCAAGGAAATAATTAGTTTGGTGTGGCCAGAGAGAAGTGTTGAGCCCTAAAACGTCATGTAAAATGCAACACTATGAAACCCTAACACATTTGCTCATCCTCATTGAGCAAGGTCACAACACTCAAAAAATGAGGAGGCATGTGGACATAATAAATAATATAAATCAAGTAATTTTAGGATGCCAAAATTAAATTTATGCATAGAAAAACTATTTTCCCAACAACAAAATTGTGGCTAGTAAAAATGCCAAATAGCTAGTAACGTACAGCAGTTTAGTTTAGTACGCTGGTCAGATAATAAAATTGTGAATTGTTTAGTTGTGGGTGGGCCGCAGGTAGATAATATAAACATGTTTTAAGCATTTTTTATCTGACAGACTGGCACAAATATGCGGATTATATGTGGCCAGACTTCCAAAGACAGATGCTGGGGTTAGTATTATTTATCATAGATGCATAATTAATGCTAATGTCACTGAAACCAGATGATATAAAACCATGCTTAAATGCTCTTGAACCCTTTTTCAGTTCAAGTCTACATCAGAATTGTTTGTAAAAATGATACATAATGGACATGGAGATGAAGTTATACAAAATTAATACAATTATCAAAATTTCCTCATAACTAGAGTTAATTGGTGCTTATGTTGTGTGCATTGATGCTCAACACAATCTGTGAATCTCAAAAGAAGTCAAGGTTCTAATGAACCTTTAAAACAGGCATCACTAAACTTGTTTCTGGAGGGCCGGTGTCCTGCAGATTTTAGCTTCAACCCTAATCAAACACACCTGAACAAGCTAATCAAGGTCCTACTAGGTATACTTGAAACATCCAGGCAGTAGTGTTGAGGCAAGTTGGAGCTAAACCCTGCAGGACACCGGCCCTCCAGAAGCAAGATTGGTGACCCCTGCTTTAAAACAAAGAATTAGAATAAGCTAATTATTGTGATGATCGCTATATCAGCGAAAACTGTAGGTGCGGCTGGCATTTGGGAATTTGTATAAATTCACAATACTAATGTGAATACATTTGGACCACTTGATTTAATGATTGCTATTAGGATGTGAAGAAACTTTCAACCAGCGTTACTCAGTTTGATCTGAAGACAATCGCCTATTGCACCTTTAGTAATTGTAATAGTAATTGTAATAATTCTTTCAATGATGACAAAAGATGTGGCAGTGCTGCTATCATGTCAGATGACTGTTTAGAAAATGGCATGAGATCACATGAGCTGTTCTGTTTCTTTCAGTGGGCTCCTCGACGGCATCAGTGGCCCCTGTCATGACCTCAGGATCCAGTGCTCCAGCAAGCCTGTCACTGAAACCTCTAGGAGCTGTTCCTGCTATAACCACAGGTACCCACACTTATTTTCATACACCGATTTATTTTTTTCAGTGGGTTTACATACATCAAAGGTAAAAAAAAATAGTTAATGATATACATTGTAGCATTTTTATCACATTAAACTAGGGTTGTTCTGATTATAGAATTGAAAATACTCGCTTATACTGCAAACATTCTGGTATCGGTGAATATTTGAAACCATACAGTGATCCATCTGTTTTAAATGAGACATATGCCTGCTAGCTTTGCTTAACACTGCAAACCTGGAGTCAGTTCTTGCTCAGAATGCAAACAAAGGAATTTGTGCTTTGTTGCCACAACAACCACTGTTAGAGCAGAGAAGAAGAGAGCAACAGACTATTTTATTTTTATAGATTTCTGAATTTTAAGCTTCAAAGAAATTATTTTTCTATATTTTTCACATTTATTTTTTATATTTTAGTTTTTTTTTTTTTCATTTTATAAAGTTACACTGTAAAAAACTTTTCAGTTTGTTTGATTTGTAGCTGAACTTGTTTCAGTAAAGTACAGTGAATAATAACACTGTTGAATGTCTGATAATTAAAATGACAGATGATGAAAATACACTAGTTCACTGTATGTATTTGTTCATGTTTTGTTAAGTTCACCATAAATTCATTCTGGCATTTATACAGGGCTAGTAGTATAGACAACTGTTATTAGTTTAGTAATCTGTATCGCCGATGCCCTGAGCTCAAGTATTGGGCTATCGCTATCGGGAAGAAACGTCCCTATATTAAACCTTTCATTCAAGCATCAGGGCCGTTTTTTTAAATAAATTTAGTCTGGATCGAATTGGTCCCGATTTGGAAAACCCATGTTTTTTCTATCCAGAATTCACTGATCTGTCTTACTTTTATGACAGTTTTAAAGAAACATTAGGTTGGATCACTGTGATCCAAATACCAGATTTTAGGATTACCAAATCCTGTTTACCAGAGCCTTAAATGGAACCACCAGTGTAGCCTAACGGCTTAGCAAAAACAACAGGTAAAATACTACCACAAACAGCCATGGTTTGGTTTAATGCAAGAAAACAAAAACACTGCAATGAACAAACATTAAGGGTGTCACGATCCTCCAAATTCTCGATTCGATTACATTTTTGATTCTGAAGGCACGATTCGATTTTTCGATTATGAATGATTAATTAATTAATGACCAATTAATTATTTGTAGTCTACCGTTTAAACTACCTGACCTGCGTGGTCTTTGTTTTACCCATAAACAAATCATACAGTAAATGAATAAAGGTAAGTTACACACATAATTACCACCTGTCAATCACTTTTTCTGCGGGACTCGTGAATAGGCAGTGATCTGTGTCGTTATAATGACGCACAACCAATCAATCTGAGGTGTTCGCTAAAATGACTAAGTACAAGTGAGTGAAAGATTGAAGCAGTCTACTGATCCTCTGACTGCCTGAACCCGCTGTCTCGAACGGCTGTGTGTGTGCGTCTGTGTCTGTGTGTGTGTGTCAGAGTTAGAGAGGAAGGAGGGCTGCTCAGAAATGCTACACGCCACTGTGTATGTCAAATCGTTGTCGTTCAAAAATGCCATTTAAAAACAAAGACAGTGTAAACAGGGCCTGAGTGTGTACTTTTAGCAAGACGATTTGCAACGAGGGCGGGCGGAGGATCGTGATGCCGGTGTTGTCTATCGGACGAACCCTAATACGTACATAACAGAGCTTGCAAAACTGTGTTTTTTTGTCGACAACACGAACGTTGTCAACATAACTCACTGGAAATCCAAAATGCTTACACACCGGCGACTTCATTGAAAGAGGAGAGGGTTTAAGTTCTGTCGACGGGTCTCCTGCTTCTGCAGTTTAACAAGCACTTCAACAAGCCTGTTTTTTCCCGCTTGGCAAGCCAAGCTGACGTGACATGGGGGCGTGGCAGCATCGACGATTCTACTTTTTGATTCGATAATCGAAATTGAGCATAAATTTCGATCGATTTCAATTAAAAATCGAAATCGTGACACCCCTAACAAACATTTCACATTTTTAGTTCGTCATAATACTATACTGCTTTGATATTGTTTTGTTGTTGTTGTTTACCATATCTCATTAGTCATGCTTCATATAGGCTTCAAATATGAAGGAAGTTATGGATCATCAGAAAACATGAAGTTTGTCATCATTCACTTAAAAAACAAAACTTAAATAATTTATTAGGTTAAAAAAATCCCTGTATCCACCCTTTTGATGGCATGAGGATAATCCTGTTTTTTGGATCAAATAGATCCCAATCTAAGTTCAGAGTTGTAAATAACCCAGGTTTGATCCAAGACAAATGTAAGGTTGGATTACATTGTCTGATCTTAATTCAAAATCCCTCTGTTACTTTTGAAAAACCCATTTCCAAGATTTGATCCAATCCCTGATCCAAAATCCCACTTGATTACTTTTGGAAAAACTAAGCCCTGGTCTCTCGAAATCCCTGCTTCCTTCCACACGGGGATGCAAATGTTAATGGTGGCAGTGATTTCTACTGAATCTCTTTGAGCTCGAGTCCTCGTTATTTGAAGTGTACACAATATGGATTTGCTTTCGCATCTCAGAAAACAGCGTCCTCTTGACATGTCAACAACACAGAGCAAACTCTTCCAGGCCCTCATCTACAAACACAGTGTTCAAGGGCAAGTGAAAGATTTGTTGTTCATGTACAGCCACTGAATGACAGTATAAGCTGGCATTGTGCAGATGTTTTACAAACTTGCATATGTTTGTATAGGAAGAGAGAGTGGAATTTTTGACGACTTGTTTTCAGAAAAACCGTTCTTTTGGCAGACAGTAACTTCATCTTGGCATACTTTTATATTCACACAAATACAAGGAGTTATTTTAAAAAGCAATTTTTGAAAGAAAAAAACTTAATTGTGCACTTTAAAAGGGGTCTCATTATAGTAATCTTCCTGTTATCGATGTTGCGTGTCTCTTTTAGCTGCTGCAAGCACAGGAGCTACTACTGGCTTTTCATTGGGGCTGAAGACTGCAGCTTCTACTGCACTGGCCTCCACCACCGCCACCTCAACTACTGTTGTCACAGCCAGGTACAAAGCTTTCTGTGTTTGAAATATTGATTCATGTTTGTGATTTTTCTTTATGTAAAGTTTAAGTAAAAATAAAACCGTTTTTCTCAGCACTGCTCCAGTGATGTCATATGCTCAGCTTGAGGCTTTGATCAATAAGTGGAGCTCAGAATTGGAAGACCAAGAAAGACATTTTCTACAGCAGGCTACACAGGTCAATGCCTGGGACCGTATGTTGGTGGAGAACGGAGAGAAGGTAAAGCAATGCACTAATGAAAGGCACGGTGTTTTCATCTGGGCATAAAAAAAGAAAGATCAGTGGACAATCTGACCAATAAAGAAACCAGGGGCTGTTATGGGACATTAATACCAGATGCGACTTGCATGCTATTTGCATGTGTGAACATTGAGTCAAATTCACTTCATTCACATGTAAAAAATTTTTCAATAGACGCGGATTCGCGTCATGGTTGCAGTGTCTGTCTGCTTGGTGACTAACGCCTGATTCACACGAGGCGTCAATGCTTGACGGAGGAAGGGTGTGTCTGAAGTTGGTGCTAATGCGATCATCATAGCAGCATCAGCCAATAAAATTAGATTGTAATTGTCTACTGTTTGAGCGGGGGTATTTGCAACAAGAGATTTCATTGTCTGACTCTTCCATTGATGCTTGAAAAGTTGGGAAAGTTGTGGAATGCTGCTGGCGCACCACCAACAAATTCACAATTCAGTTCGGCAACACTTGATGTCACTTATTCAAAGTGAATGGGAAGTGTTGATGCTGACGCCCCATGTGAATCAGGCGTAATCATGTCTTTGCATTGACTTTACATATAAATCACTCCCAATTGATGCTTCATTTGTGTCTGGTGTGAACGCACCACTACAACTTAGCATGTGTTAAACCTACTACTTTATTAATTTGTATAGCACTTTTTAAAAAGTTATTCTTATTTATAGACTTTTTTCTTAGAACACAAAATTACCCATTATGCATTGCGTGTTTGTGTATTTATATTAGATACACGTGGTGAAATGACTATAAAGTTCAATCTTTTCTTCTAGCTGGCCATCCACTTGCTTGCATGCATTTTGGGAGTAAGTGATGTATTTACATGCTGAATCCTGCGTGTTTTGCTTTTATGAATGAGGCAAGCACGCGGCAAAAAAAACTTTTTTTTTCTTAGTAATTTTGTCTCGTTTCCAAAGAGTCCAAATATGTAAAAAATCTTAAATCAAGACTAGACAAGAAAAATGGCATGAGAAATTTTAATGATGCTTAAAACTTCTGTTTGAGATTATATCTCATTAAGATTATTTTTCTTACCCCATTGGCAAATAATTTAGCTTGTTTTAAGCAAACAGTCACGTAATGTTAGGGTATTTTTTTCAGAAAACAAAACAACATTATTTCATGTGTCTAGTATTTATCTTGTTTAAGATTTTTTTAGATATTTGAATTGAAAACAGGACAAAACCACTAAGCTTTTAAATTTTATTATTTTTATTGTTATTATTATAACAGCCTAGGCATGTTCAAGGACAACATGATTGTGCACTTTCTAAAGATTAGTTCTGTTTTTGAATAAAGGGTTGGAAATGAATGCTTTTGTTTTTTTAAATCTGATTTATCGATAAATCGAAAATAATAATAATAATCGACAGATTAATCGATTATTTAAAAAAATCATTAGTTGCAATCCTACTAATATTGTTCTTGTCTGTGTGTTTGCATTAAAGAGCTGCGGAGTACATTATAACAGCTGATGGGTCATGAACACTGACTATATTTCAGCACCTGATCTAATGGCAAACACTGAATGGGGAGAGCATTTTTCTCTGGCCCTTGAATCGCATCTGTTAGAAGTATAACGGCTTTAACACGTCTTTCTTTCAAAATTAAAGTTTTGCATCACAAAACACTCCGTAAGCTAATGAAAACACCCAGTATTGACACCCAGTTGGGAAATGCTGCTCTGACTGATGTCAATTCTTAACAAAAGTTGTGAGCACTCCACCGGAAGGCGCTGGTCAATATGGCGCCCTCCATGCAGAAACAAAGAAAAAGGTCTATAGTGAAACATTTGTGGAAGCATTTGATGTCATGGATACTAAGAATGTTTTGACTTTAGGTTCAGTTTAATGCATGCATTTCTAATGTGACGGGTTTTCTTTGGAATATGCAGAATGGTTTAAAGATGCTAATAGTTAGCTTATCATAAAGTAAGTCATGCTGCAAAAGGTTTCCAGTAATATCAATTTCCTTTCTTTTCCTCCCTTCTACAGATAACCGCTTTACATAAAGATATGGAGAAAGTGAAACTGGACCAACGAAGGTAATGTTTTAATTAGCTTAAAGGGATTGCTCACCTAAAAATAAAAATAAAACTTCTGTAATTTATTCACCATTTACTACTTTTAAACTTTTGAGTTTCTTCTGTTGAACAAAAGAAGAAATTTGGAAAAAAAAGTTTGAAAGATGTAACCATTGACTTCCATAGCAGGATAAAACTAATACAATGGAAGTAAATGGTTACAGGTTTTTAGCTTTCTTTAAAATATATTTTTTGGTGTTTAACAGAAGAAAGAAACTCATAAGGGTTTGCAAGCATTTGAGTGAGTAAATGGTAAGTTTACATTTTTAGGAGAACTATCCTCTTAATGCACATAAAGAAACTAGCAAAACCAGTTGAATGTTATAACTGTCGAATACTTTTAAGTATTCAAATATTCCTATAATCAGCCTTAATGATTGACCAGTCACAATCAAGTATTTCAGAGAGCTGTATAATACGTTTTGTTATTCTTGTGGTATAAAATGATTTGTCTAAGACAGTGGTCACCAAAATGGTGCCTGCGAGGATCACATAAGTTGCCCGCGGGCCTGTTCTAAAAATAGCTCACCATAGCGCCACTTACCAGTAAGCTGGATCTAATATTTTTTTGTAGCTATTGGTGTAAATTTGTATATAGTTTTATATATATATATATATTTCATATTAGCTATCTGGTCTCCACAGCAATGGTTGCGGAAACAGTAAAGGGAAGGAGATGATATAAAAATGTGGCAGAAAAAATTTTAAATTAAAAAATAATTTTCACAGTGAATAGGAGGAAGAGTTCTTTTTTACTTCATTTGGCGACGGCAAAGTGGCACAATGTTGAGAGACATTTTAGAAAGTGTCATGCAAGCTAACGTTACCATGCTAACTACCAGTGGTGTAAAGTAACCAATTACAAATACTCAAATGACTGTAATTGAGTAGTTTTTCACAGCAATTTTACGAAGTAGTTTTTAAAATATGTACTTTTACTTTCCCTTTAGTACATTTTTAATGCTGTATCAGTACTTTTACTTGTACTTTCCTTCAACCTGCAATCATTACTTTATTGCTTCTTGTCTATGGGTATTAGAAAGTTCAGTCCTGTGATTCCTATTTAATCAAATCACACATAGAAGGTAAAACACATCGTACTGAACAACCTCAAGATTATATAAATGCAGCCATCTATTTGGAAGCATTAAAAGTGTTCAAGAAGATGTCCAAAATCTTTACATGCATTGACCCAGAGATGCATGTCACTGACGAGGAGATGATGGATGTTTACTGTATGACCAAAATGGCCTCAAACAGCCAGACAAGACATCAAATTGATGTTTTACCCTAATGTCATGGGAACATTGCATTTAGTTTAAATATGAAAATCATGTTGATGTCAGAACTAAATGGTTGGGAATGGTCAGGTCAACATCCAACCTAAAACCAACTAAATATCAATGTCTAAGGATGTTACAGCTTGACGTTGTGTTGACGTTACCACAATGTCTATCAGATGTTGGATTTTTTTTGCCATACCTGACAATATGGTTTATGACGTTAGTTTAAGATGTTAGCTTGTAGTTGGATTTTGGTCACTTTCTAACAACCTAAAATCAACCAAATATCAACGTCATTTGATGTCATTATTGCATGTCAAAATAATGTTGCCCTTAGACACCTCTTAGACACTTAATTTTGGTCACCTGACATCACAACCTAAATCTAACCTAATATAAACATCTTATGACATTGTGTGCCTGCTGGGCAATAACTAAATGCACTACAGAATATTACATTTACACGCATCCACATATTACATGTAAATGCATCAGCTAAACTTTTTTTTGATTTAGAAAAACAAGGCTTTTCAGACAGTGCTTAAAGACTAGAATGAATATAATCTCCACTCTCTCCAATGTCAAACTTGGGGAGACTACAATGGTTAGAAAGGTGTCGGCTATGTTAAAAATGCTGTCAATTTGATGAAAATTTCAGTAAAATCTGAAAGTTGATTTAGTTACACAATTGATCCTTTGTACCAACATGGTACATTGTAGTGCATGATTTGTCTAAAATTGTTAGTGGCTAATGAAAATATTGGAGAAGTGGTCATTTGAAATTTTTAATACTTGCAGAGATTTTTGGAAGTGTTGCATATTGATATTACTTAGTTTCCTACCTTGTTAAATCATTGTTGACAACTATTGTGAGAAATCATTAACATGATCAGTGTCTTCATGGAGGACTTAACCAGACAGCTTGTATTGCTGTTAGATGCTGTAATCTTACTGTTAAAAACATTTCTGTGTTTTTCCCACAGGCTGGATCAAGAACTGGACTTTATCCTTTCCCAGCAGAAAGAGCTGGAGGATCTTCTTAGTCCGTTAGAGGAGTCCGTGAAGGAGCAAAGTGGAACCATATACATGCAGAACGCAGATGAAGAACGAGAAAGAACGTAAGAACATAAACTGGCAGATGTCTGGCCACTTTTACCCGGCTGTGTTTTCATTTTAACATTTTTTGTTTTAAAATGAAAACAATCAGTGTCAGATTGGCTTTTTCATGAGATTTCAGAAAAGATCTTCATCCACACTAAACCAACCAACTAAAAACACATGGCAGAAGCTAAAATTAGATCTAAAATTGTAATACAATATTGTAGCCTATATACAATCATATTCACTACAAATTGTAAATCATTTTAAACACATAGTTTTAAAGCGCATTAAGAGAAAAATTTCAGGTTTAATTGGCAGTAACCCTTAAAGTTAACTGTATTAAGAAGAAACCCTCTAAATAATCTGAAAATATACCAACTCTAATTGTAGTAAAAGATTGTATTTATAGTTATAAAATTAAATTTAAATTAAAGTATTCATTACAAACAACATTTGCATATTATGAAATTCTGTCAAGCGAAAAATGCACATTTAAGTTGGCAGTAATTAATATTATTATTGTTATAAATAACAGGGTAATAATCTAAAAACTACAAAAATGTATTGTCATATACAATTAAAACAAACAAATTAAAACAATATTTACTAGTCTAGTTTGTATAGTAGGCACAAACATGTGCCCGGATAAACACTCACCGGCCACTTTATTAGGTATACTTGTCCAACTGTTCAATAACTCAAATTTCTAATCAACTAAACACATGGCAGCAACTCAATGCATTTAGGCATGTAGACATGGTCAAGGTGATCTGCTGCAGTTTAAACCGAGCATCAGAATGGGGAAGAAAGGAGATTTTAGTGACTTTGAATGTGGCATGGTTGTTGGTGCCAGACAGGCTGTTCTGAGTATTCCAGAAGCTGCTGATCTACTGAGATTTTCATGGACAACCATCTTCAGGGTTTCATAAAATGGTCCAAAAAAGAGAAAATATCCAGTGAGCGGCAGTTCTGTGGGCACAAATGCCTTGTTGAAGCTTATACAAAGGCAACAGCAACTCAAATAACCACTCTTTACAACCGAGGTATGCAGAAGAGCATCTCTGAACACACAACACGTTGAACTTTGAGGCAGATGGGCTACAGCAGCGGAAGACCACACTGGTTGCCTCTCCTGTCAGCAAAGAACGGGAAAGGCTACAATTCACTCACCAAAATTGGACAACAAAAGATTAGAAAATCGTTGCCTGGTCTGATGAGTCTCAATTTTTGCTGCAACATTCAAATGGTAGGGTCAGAATTTGGTGTCAACAACATGAAAACATCGATTCATCCTGCATTGTATGAACGATTCAGGCTGCTGGTGGTGTAAAGGTGTGGGGGACATTTTCTTGACACACTTTGAGCCCATTAGTAAAAATTTAGGCATCGTGTCAACGCCACAGGCTCCCTGAGTATTGTTGCTGACCATGTCCTTCCTTTTATGACCACAGTGTACCCATCTTCTGATGGTTACTTCCAGCAGGATAACACGGCATGTCATAAAGTGTGAATCATCTCAGACTGGTTTCTTGAACATGACATTGAGGTCAATGTGTTCAATGTACTCAAATGGCCTCCACAATTACCAGCTCTCAATCCAGTAGAACACTTTTGGGATGTGGTGGAACAAGAGAATTGCATCATGGATGTGCAGCTGACAAATCTGCAGCAACTGCATGATGCTATCATGTCAATATGGACCAAATTCTCTGAGGAATATTTCCAGGACCTTGTTGAATCTATGCTACTAAGGATTACAGCAGTTTTAAAGGCAAAAAGGGGGCCAGTCCACTACTAGTAAGGTATACCTTATAAAGTGGCCGGTGGTTGTGTTTAAAGCTAAACTAACCTCTCATTTGAGATTTATATATTTGTTTTAAAAGGTTTAGCAAACCAAATATTTTAATAGAAAAGAAGCTTTTAATTATATATACTGGTAAATGTAAAACATTTAAACTATATTGGGATTTACTTTTAAATGTTTGTACACACAGTAAAAAAAACCATGTTGATATTTTAAAATTTTCTACAGAATCTACTTTATTGATTTTAAACCACTTCCTTGAACTTGAGGCTTATCACATAAAGTTTAACTCGCCCTCAGGGTCTTGAATTGATATTTAATTGAAATCCAGAAGACCTAATTAGGGAGTGAATGTAAACAGCTTCATTGTCATAAGTTCCGATCTGTCTACATGTACTCTGGAGTTATGTGGATGCCAGACATAATCAAAACAAAAGTTTAAATGAACAAAAAAAGTGTAAATGTAGTGTCAATCAACCCTGTCAGAAGCTCACGTTTTCTTCAAATACTAATAATCTTTTATCCAGGTACAAGTTGGCTGAAAATGTGGATGCTCAACTCAAAAGAATGTCCCAAGATCTAAAAGAGATTATTGAACACCTCAACACCTCCAGTGGACCCGCTGACACTGCTGACCCGGTATGCACAATATAATCTATATTTGTAAAAAATCAATGCTGTTACCTGGACCAAGACTGACTTGTGGTGTCTTTTTTTTCCAGCTTCAGCAGATCTGCAAAATTCTCAATGCACACATGGACTCCTTACAATGGGTGGAGCAAAATTCAGGTCAGTATCCACTTAAATTCGATACATATTTCGCTACACAGTCTTTTTTGGAATGTTTCATTGAATCCTTTGCATACATTTGCTTATGTGCAGTTTTACTTCAGAGGCGAGTGGAGGAGGTCTCAAAGTTGTGTGAGAGCCGCAGCAAGGAGCAAGAGAAGAGCTTTCGTTTAAACTTCCAGTGATCATGCATAATCATGTTGTTTTTTCTTCAGTCAGATGTAATGAACGTCTTTGTTTTTGATATTTGCTTCAAAATAAAATTAGCTTGGTTTCCTCTTAGTTTATGTATTTGTATTGATTGTCAATTCTCCAAAATCTGGAGTCATTTTAAAGATCTAAAACGAACAAATCTACAGAGCAAGGCTTTTATTTTCCTGCTTTACGGTTATGGGATGAAACGAGCCAATCAGCTGGATGGAGCTCCACCATAGCAACATGGATCCTGGCATTGTTTAATATCAAGCATTCCTGCGACTACGTCGAGCAAATAAAAAATAAACGTATATACAAGCAGTTGCGAGCATTACTTTTAGAGACAGCTGCAGGTATATGAAGGCGACGAGATGACCACCGACATCTGCAGGTATGTGCACTACTGAGGATGCACGAGGACGCATGTACCGGAGAACACGGGATCCTTCCCTGCACATGCATGTTTTCTATATGTAGTACAGACTACGAGTGTGTATCAAGTGCAAAGGCTAAATCATGATGAATGTATAAAAAGCATGGGGATACTGGGGACGTAAAATTAAAATAAGGAAAATACATGACGTTAATTATACCCATCATCTATATAGCGCGCCGGTACAACAAGCATGTGTCCGGAATCCAATCATAGAGCTCATGCTATACTTTCCCTTTCTACTGTCATATATGTAGCATTATATACATGAAATTCTTCCATATGCAATCTTTCAGGTTATTTTTAAAATAGGTTTAGTGACCAGGAATTTAGGGCACGCACTGTCATAATGAAAGTGAAGTGAACTGCTCTGGTGCATGTGTGTGTGTGTATAGTCTCGTTCAATGCATTCAGAGAGCGCGCGCGCAGATGAGTTGAGTCTCGCGTGCGCCATTTTAGCGCGTCTCCAGCCATCCGGCAAGATGGCGCTCTCGCTTTGTCTGCTCCGATCGGCATAAAACAAATTTCACAAAATTCACATACATGAATTTGACCGGATCGCACAGAAAAACACCCTTCCTATCGGTGCCAAATTGGAGACTCCTTAAAGATCCGCGCGTGACCTGAGCATAGAGATCTTGAGGTAAGTGCAGGGATGTAAGTTAGCCGGGTAATATGTGCATGCGTTTGTGCACATTGCAAATGCATGCTTTAGTCCTGGAAACAGTTGAGTGGCGTCATAAGATTGTTTTATGCGGATTGAGATCCTAATGACGCGTGTTGCGTTAGTTTTACAGTAAGTTTCAATTTTTGCTCCATTGTGCATCTCCGGCAGCTATATGGGTGCACTGGGCATATGCTAGAACTAGGCCTTTCTTCAGCAAATTTTCAGCACTTCACCAAAACACCCGTAATTAGCAATATTAAGGTTAATTGTATGTTCTTTTCGTGTCTCTGCTGTGTTTACTTATGATATCGACTTATGTATCGAAGGTGAATCAGTGGATAACAGTCTGTCACACAAGAAGCCAAAACATTATGATCAGCCTCATTAGTGTTTTGTGACACGCTTTGATTTTTCACCTCTATTGTCTCACTCACAATGAATTTGGTTTTGTGGGATGTTGCTCAAGTTTAATGGCAGGTACGAGCTTGGTTTGTTTATGTTAGCCCTTATCAGTGCGTGTCTTCCGTCCTGTTACCGGCTGTTGTTACGCGCTAATAGGAGACGGGCTCCGTGATGACGCCATCTGTCAATCAAAAATACCGCGGCGCCCGAAATCACCTCAGTCACTCCCCTCGCTCCGAACTGCTTTCTTTTTTGTGTAATTGTTGATGTATTGTCATTTGTTTTATGTATGTTAAAGCATATCTAAATTTGGTTTCGTGACGGCATCATTATAACCAATTGACTTGTCCCAAATGCCAAGAAACCTCTACATGCTGTGATATAGGTCGCGTCGCTTCCGGTTTGGGTTTTTTTTTTTGTATGGGCTTTGTTCTGAGATTTTTTTTTTATTACTCGAGGCCCTTTCAAATCAACTCTCAAACACCAGTGTAATCGATATCCGTCACACACTCATTCAGAGACATCCACAAAGAATATGTAAGTAAAAAAAATAACAAAAAATAAATTGATATTTTTAATTATTAACGTTAATTATTTGTCCTATTAGCTCATAAATAAGACGTTTTAACGTTATACCTACACAAATTTAATCATATTTCAGTTAATAAGTAGATAAACAGTTTACACTCAACAGCAGTTTCTATGTTAAATGTTTAACTGTATATACATATACATCTTATATACATCTTTATACATATCTTGTGTTTCAGGTCAAGTAAACTGAATACATTGGTGACTAAACTTCATGAGTTCTTGGGTCATTCTCCAGACATCGAAAGCATTGATTCTCAAGACATTTCCAGTGGTGAGAGTGACTTGTTAACACAGCTGATAAAGACAGGAGGCGTTGTTTAGAATTATTTTATGACTGAATATTTTTGTGTAAACGTATACAGTTGAAGTCAAAATTATAAGCCCCCGTTTATTTTTTTCCCTCCAATTTCTGTTTAATGGAGAGAAGTTTTTTTTTCAACACATTTCTAAACTTAATAGTTTTAATAACTCATTTCTTATAACTGATTTATTTTATCTTTGCCATGATGACAGTAAATAATATGTGACCATATTATTCAAGATATTTTTCAAGACACTTCTATACAGCTTAAAGTGACATTTCTCAAATTCCTCAAATTATTTTTTTGCATTTTTGTGTTCAATAGTTTAAGATTACCACAGAGCCTTAAAAACTCTTAAAGTAAATTTTATACCACTTAAAAATTAAACATTAATAAAAATCCTTCTGTTTTTTTTTTTTTACATTTTAAATAATACTTTAATTTAAACATGTCTAAATATTTTACTCAATTAAAACCATCTTATTGAATAAATAGTTCTTTTTTTGTTCATGGGGCTGTGCAGTATGATCTGTGATCATAAAATATTTTTGCAACAATTGAAGTAAAATTGGTTTAATATTCACACATTCGTTCATTTTAATGGTCCCCATATTATTTACCACGCTACTTTAAATATTCGGTCTGAAACCCCATGTAATTATGACTTAAAAACAACATGAGCAATATTTAATTGACTGTGAACGAGCTGCTAATATGATTTCCCTTTTCAGAATTTGTAAATTATACTTTTTTGAAATTACATTATTAATGAGAAAGGCAGAATGTCCGAATATAAAGCTAACTTTACCTCAATTTTGCAACTGTGCAAGCTGAAATCGATTTTGTTGCACACAAGTTTGTCTTTTATTTTGTTCCATAAGTTTTTTTTTTTTTTTTTACCAAAGTATTGATTGATCAGGATTGCTGTTTCACCTATAATGTCTGAACAATTGAGGATGTGACAGTTTTATTGATGACACAATATTGATAATTAATTTAGAAACTTATTAATCATGCAGCAATCCCATAAAGAGGGTCTCTTGCTTTTTTTTTTTTTTTCATATTTTGAACAAATTGGTTAACCAAATGATTCATTGTATGTTTATGACTGTTTTAATGACTAAGTTTTAATGACTTTTTTTTCTAAAGCAAAAAAAATATCATCATATGTTTGCCGATATTTAAGCAATATGCCTAGTTGACCTAAATGGTTATCTGAAAAACATCACTATTGTTATTCTCCTTTAAAAATACACACTTCATGTTTAAATGTCTTTCTTTTGTTTTTGATCTGTGTCACCCCGCCCACAGCCAGTTGAACCAATTGGGTTTTGGCACCCCGGGTTGACTTAGTGAAAAGCGCAGTGTATTTCATTTCAGTCATGGAAGCTGCCAAACGAAAGTGGTTAGAGTCAGAGATCTAACATTCTAAACATTCTAAAAAGCTTTAGCATCTACCCAAAAAAACTGTAAGATCAACAGTATATTTAACCGTTAACTTGATTATGATTATAATTTGACAAATGCAACCTCTAGAAGACTATCAATCCTCCAAAATGACATAGATTCAGAGGCAAATCCACATGAGGTTGTTTGTTTTTTGCGATCAATATAAATTGGGCAAATGTGTACATTACATTAACTCAAAGTGTAATGCTGGTTCTTATTTGCTGTTATCAATCTGGCAACCTGCATGTGCATTAAGTCAGTGGAATAGATCACAAATAAAATAGAAAATATGTCTATTCTCAGAACAAACTCGATAAAGAAGCATAAAACACTTTTCACATGATCTCATTTAAAGATTTGTGCTTTATTATTGTTATGCACTACTCAACATCGGAAGGGGAAAAACAGATGCCAGCTTGTTGCAGACTCATAGATGAACAGCTTGATGTCATATTGTTTTGGAGTGAGGTTCATGTAAGGTAAAAATGAGCTTGGCAGTCTCGAATCATGGATCTCAATAGGACTGGGCTGCACTTCACGTTTTCACCACAGTTTTACTTTGTGAAATTGTGGGGTGCTGTTTAGCTCAGAAGTCTCAGACACTTTCTACTTGGTATCGTTTTAGTTTTTTGCCATAAACCATGGGTCGATTTTATTGATTATTTTTTTTGCAAGTTAAAATTTTTTAAATAATGTTGCAGAACTTAAAATTTATTATTATTATTATTTTTTTTATGTATATAAAGGGTGTATGTTTTGGATGAAATTTTGGTGGGGTTCTTTAAGATAAGCTGCGGCTGACATGAATGTGTTCGAGAGTTTAAATCAGTCATAGTACCAGAACAAAACAAAAGAGCATCTAAACAGTTACCAAAAAAATCTTCAAATATATCAAGATAGTTCTAATCAATGTTGCATAGCCCTGAAGCACAGTATTATGATGTTATATAAAATATAACTTTTTTTTAAAGGGGCTTAATTTTTACTGTTTAGCAAACCTGTAACTGCAAACTATAGTTATAATGTACTATTTTAATTTGTACTCTTCAATTTCAGGTAAAATGGCAACCAATGACGTAAATATTGCTGATGAGAAGATGAACGAGGTATGTGTTGTTATTTTTTTTTTTATCTGTACTTTTTACTATAACTCTATCCTGTCCAGCTGCATTGTAACAAGTATCCAGCATTATGCAGTTTTTAGTACTCCCTGAGTCCTGTTAAAATGGCTTTGGCCTGA